AATTGAGACATTATTGTAACTTTGATTTTCACAAATTGTATTCTACCTAGTTAAAACTGCCAATGTATAAATGAAATTCAAGTAGTTGAACTTTTCAGGCTTTAATGAATCATTATTTAGCTGCCTTTTAACAGCACCAACTGCTAGCTCAAGTGGTAGAGCGCATGCTTAGCACGCACAAGGTCCTGGCTTTGATCCCCAGCATCTCCTCTAAAAATTAAGTAAATCTAATTACCACTCCCCCAAAAAATAGTTTAAAAAAATTAAAGTTTTTTTAAAGGATGTAGTAAATAAATAAACGCACCACCTGCTTTGTGAATCTAGTGAACTCAGCATCGTCTTTGTGGGTCTAATCCGCTTTTCCCTCTCGGCACACTCTTACATAGGAGGAAAGATCAAAGGTAGATGACCTGAGGGGGACCCCAATGTCTGTGGGAACTTTGGAAGAGATCATTGATGACAATCATGCCATCGTGTCTACATCTGTGGGCTCAGAACACTACGTCAGCATTCTTTCATTTGTAGACAAGGATCTGCTGGAACCGGGCTGCTCGGTCCTGCTTAACCACAAGGTAAGTTGATAGTCTAAGAAAGCCCACAGGAGTGCTTTCTCCTTCCTCTTAGATCTGTCTGCCCGTCCTGTGAACTCCTGAAGGTAGAGGAAATTCTCTGATTGCCATCCCATTGTTGTAAGGGCATTGTGTGAACCTCATGTTCCTATGTTAAAGCTTAGTGTCCCGTTAGGTGCATGCCGTGATAGGGGTGCTGATGGACGACACGGATCCCTTGGTCACAGTGATGAAGGTGGAAAAGGCCCCTCAGGAGACCTATGCTGATATTGGGGGGTTGGACAACCAAATCCAGGAAATTAAGGTATGCCTGAGAACCGGCTCCGGGGTTTCAGACCTTTGGTTTCTTACTGCTGTCTCATTTAGGGTGCTTGGAATTGTTTGGCAGTATCTGTGTGAACATGTTTCCAATTATGCTGACTTTCACTGTGGCTTTCCAGAAAACCCCAGTGAGGTATGGGGTAGGTGAGTGGCACACACTTGCACAGGGGGGTCTAGAGTGTAATCCCAGCCCTCTGCAGCTCCTTCCCTCTGTAGGGAGGCCACTCAGAGCTATCACAGAGCTCCACCGGTGACCTCTCAGCTGGGAAGTAGCCATTGTGTCCCTCAGTGGTGGCAACAACAGAAGATCTTGCCAGCTCCTGCCTGTAGTTAAAAAATTAAAAGGGGGAATTCTAGCTTTCTTAAGTTCCTTTTGCTCAGGAAAGGCTTAAGTGTTGCTTAAGGCTGACTTGTACTGAGAAGTGAAAGGGAGATTGGGTGCTTTTAGGAAGAGGGGTGGGTACTGGGAGCTCAGGTGGGACAGAGGTCATCCTCTGCAGTACGGTCCTTGCTGGTGGAAGTCAAGTACATTGTCTCTAACAAGGATAATTGAAATTTTAACTTTGTGTTGAAAGTGAGATACACTCTTGATGCTGGTTAATGAATCTGATAATTTCAGTAAGAAAACCTTTCATTTTTACCAAGTGTTTATTTTCTGTAGGAATCTGTGGAGCTTCCCCTCACTCATCCAGAATATTATGAAGAGATGGGTATAAAGCCCCCTAAGGGGGTCATTCTCTATGGTCCACCTGGCACAGGTATGTATGCTCCGTGTTGGTCACTTTCCAGGCACTCAGCTCATCATTAGCTGCTTATAGGTACTTAGCAGTCGAGTGAGGACGCCACAGTTCCTTAGTTTAAAAGTGTGCCCTAAGCAGCATTTTGGACTTTTTTGAATAAGCAGCTTCTCTGGAAACATACCTATTACATGAAAGAATATTTATCTGTATATAGGAGTACCTAAGAAACTGAACTATCTTAGACTTGAAATTACAGATGTCACAGAGTTAATGTGTTAAAAGAAAATAGGGATTACAACAAAAAATAAACACCAGTAGTGTCCCCCCAAATGCCTGCTCAATGTGAATGCATTTCCAGTTCCCAAGCACTCCTCTTCTGTACTCAAATATGCCAGATTTAAATGTTGTAAAACATAATACTTTCAAATATTTTTAAGGGTATCATGAGTCTATTGAAAATAGTTTGTAAGAAAAAAGTGAAAACAGGGTGCTCAACCTTGGCTGTACACTGGGATCACCTTGGGAGCATCATCAGATACTGATGCCTGTTCCCTATTTTGGAGAACATAATGCTTTTCATGCAGGGATCCACTCATTTCTGATGTCTTTTCAAGGTGGCAGTGAGAGTTTTAAAGTTAAAACAGCACTTGAGGGCTTTTCCCCTTTTTCTTTTTCAATCTAAAACAGGTAAAACCTTACTAGCCAAAGCAGTAGCAAACCAAACCTCAGCCACCTTCTTGAGAGTGGTTGGCTCCGAACTTATTCAGAAGTACCTGGGTGATGGGCCCAAACTCGTTCGGGAGTTGTTTCGAGTTGCTGAAGAGCACGCACCATCCATCGTGTTTATTGATGAAATTGATGCCATTGGGACCAAAAGGTAGGCATTCTCGTGCCTCTCTCGCGTCATTTAGAGGCAAAACCCTTGTGGTTCTTCGGAGAATGATCGGCCGTTGGCACTCCCTGTCCAGCCTGCGTGTTGGTTTGCTGCAGTCCCTGCCGTGTAGCTCTCTGTGGGTGCTTTAGGCTCTGCTCTCCCAGGTGTCAGGTAACAACCGGCCCGCAGCTCATTGGTCAGTCCGTCACCACGCCGCCTCGAGCACTGTTTTGAGCCAGGCACCATCTAGACTCTGAGATAGTCCTGAGCATGAGTCTCTGCCCTTAAGGATCTCAAATGTGGAGACAAAATGTCAGATATAAAACCTGCAAAGGAAGTAATGTGACGTGTGATTTGGGCCTTGGGAGGGTGTGCTGATGTTTTACTAGAAAAACTGAGGGTGTGACATATGGGTTGAGACAGAGGTATGTTTTGTAATTCCCCTCTGACAGGAGATGAGGTGGGTTTTCACTTCTCCTTATCGTCTTTTCCAAAGGTATGACTCAAATTCTGGTGGTGAGAGAGAAATTCAGCGAACAATGCTGGAATTGTTGAACCAGCTGGATGGGTTTGATTCAAGGGGAGACGTGAAAGTCATCATGGCCACAAACCGAATAGAGACTTTGGACCCAGCACTTATCAGACCAGGTCACATTTGCTTTTGTTTCACTGTGGAGAATAATTGTGCTTATATTTGTTTATATTTCTAAGAGCACTTTGGGAGGAATATAAATAATACACATAAAAGCAGACACCACACTGAAACTTAAAATAACAAAACTGTGTCCCTTTGAGATAATGGATAAGAGCGAGCATGATGTAGTCAGTGTAGCTTGACCATTTTAATTCAAATCTTATGTCAGATTCTTTCCTTTCCCATAACAAATGTTCCCTTTTTAGTCTCAAATTTTTTTAAAAGAAATAATCCATATGGCAGCTCAGTTTTTACATTCAGGTAGTACCAAAAGAAACAAGAGCTAATGTGCTTACTCTTGTTTATAATGTTTTTCAGCACAATTGATCTGTCCTTTCGCACTAACTGTACCATTTAGGACCCTCTCATTTGCTTCTAAAGAACCAGAGCAGAGAGGATTTTTTTTTTTTATTGGGATAAATTTCAACCTCCTTCCACAAGACACTGTGTGACTGAGACCACACATGAGGAGGTGGCTCAGGCTTCCCCCTAAATCTGGGCCGAGCCTGGGGCTGCCCAGGGGTGTGACTGAAAACTTCCCCTGCGTGCAGGCCGCATTGACCGGAAGATCGAGTTCCCCCTGCCTGACGAGAAGACAAAGAAGCGCATCTTCCAGATCCACACGAGCAGGATGACGCTGGCCGACGACGTGACCCTGGATGACTTGATCATGGCGAAAGATGACCTCTCTGGTGCTGACATCAAAGTGAGAACCTGGGCTGGATTGTACCTCTCAGTTTTATCACTTACGTGTATGACGTTTCTTCCCAGATGACCAGAGTTAAAAGCAAGGCCTGGCAGCACTGAATATGGATACAACCTGCTTTCTGTGGGAGGACCTGGGTTCTCATCAGACTTGATGCCAGGGCGAGGCAGGGACGGCCACGCAGGCCTTTTCATGCTGGCGCCTGCACTGAACTGCGTATCATTAGCATCAGTAGATCTAGGCTAGTGTCTTTGTTGGAGAGTAAAATCTCTCTTCAAAATCTAAATTATTTTAAAATTTTGCACTTTTTATTTAAAAAACTTCCAAGCCTTCAGGAAAGTTGCATCAATAGCAAACACCCAAATACTCATCACCTCAATTTACCAAATATTATCATTTTACTTGTTTGTTTCCTCTGTATGCACAAAACACTTCTTTTCTGCTGAACCATTTGGAATAAATATCCTAAGGGCCATAACCAGATAGAAACTTCAGTGCCACGATTGTGTTCTTATCACATCTTGTCACACAGGGTTCTTTTTAGTTTCTTGTCAAAGTAATTATTAAGAAAATGAATATCTTAGAACAAATACTGTATTGAAACCTGTATTTAACCTAGAACACGTGTTCTCTTATGACATAAGTAAACGACATGGATGTATAGTCTAAATTTCTGGACATTACCTATCTCTTAGGGAGATTACTTCCATTAACAAAAGTGGAGCTTTGCGAACTTACCGACTGACCTGCCACACAGCTGGAGCAATACTAGAACCCAGAGCCTCGGTTCCTGGGCCAGTCCTCTTCCTTAGTCAATTACTGCTAGTTTAAGCAATGTCAGGTCCTTTGAGAAAATAATTAGAATGCTTAAAACATATTTAAAAAAATCTAATCTTTCCCACATGGTTTGAGAAATTTGTGTTTAGTCTGGGTGGCCTACACTTTATTTCAAAATAGCTCTAAATTGTTAGAATAAAAATAAATATTTCACTTTCTGAACATGCTGTTCTTTCTCACAGGCAATCTGTACAGAAGCTGGTTTGATGGCCTTGAGAGAACGTAGAATGAAAGTAACAAATGAAGACTTCAAAAAATCTAAAGAAAATGTTCTTTATAAAAAACAAGAAGGCACCCCTGAGGGGCTCTATCTCTAGGGACCACAGCTGCCTTTAGGGAAACGGCAGCAGTGTCCTGACCCCTGGGAGGGATGAGGCTGGGGAAGCCGCCCAGGGGAGTCGATGTTCCAGTTGCTCGTCATTAGTGAAACATCCGTGTACCTTTCTGAGCGTGGCGTAGGGGGTGCCCATCGGGCTGCCTTCGTCTGTTGGTCGCGTGCAGTGTCCTCGTCCCAATAAAGCCTGCTTTTTCTCAACACCGAGTCCTGTTTCTGGACCGTCTGCGCCTGCGGCTCAGCAGCAAGTGGGTGGATCCGGGCGTCAGGGAAGCTTCCCGGTGCTCACAGGGACAGCAAGCTTCAGCACCTGTTTGTCCCCACATCACACCCCCAGTCTGGTGGTTGCTGTTCAACAGCAGCCGATGGGAAAGAAAGGATCACAACCGAATAGCCAGCGATCCTAGTTGTTTAAGCAGCAAAGGCCGAGTTCACACAGCAGGGGCTTCAGAAGGAAAGAAAGCATTCACTTTTGGAAGTTTATGGAGTATGAGTTCTCGGCATGCTGGGGACAGGAAAGAGGTACTGGTGTCGCTAGGAGACCGGGGGTTTCTAAAAGGAGTCTCAGGTCAGGGTTGCAGAATCTCATGGCAACCCCAACATCCCTTGTTCCCGAGTTGAGAAACCTCATCCCTCCCGAGAGCTCAAAGATGTGTCAGAGCTTCCTCTTGACTTTCTCTGTTTCCAGCTCTTCTCTCTCCTTTCTGGCCAGTTCAGTCTTACAGCCAGGAAGTGGGGCAGACCAAGGTAAGCCTCGCCTCGGCTGGCGGGCAGCTTCCCTGGGGGCCCTGAGTTGCTCTCTAGAAAATGCTCAGCTGTGCTGTCCTCCCCTTCTTTACCCAACCCACATCCATCAGTTTCTAGCCACAACTTTGTTCCACAACACTGGCTCTTCTGGGATAAGGTGCCAAAGAAACGTGCTTTCAGCGGTTCTAGGCAGCATGATTTTTTTTTTTAAAAAGCCGAGAAAAACTGTCCATTTTTTTTAAAGCAGGACCTCAGGGAAGTTAGTTTCGCTCAGTCAAATGTTACAGCCTCAGAATCAGAATGAGTACATAGCCGGCCTGGGCCTCCACATCTTAAGCTGAGCTGACACGCACGCTGAACGCGTACCTTCGGCACGTCGCACAGGCAGGGCTGGATCTGCTGGGAAGGGGCTGGCTCCGTCCTCCACTCGGCCATAGTGGCTGCTGGCGACCTCCCCTGCAGCAGGGTCCTTATTTGGGGCAGTGCTTTCCACACTGTGATGTACACACAAGTCCCCTGAAAGGGGTCCCGTTAGAGCACCGGTTCTGACTCAGAGGGCCAGGGTGTGGCCTGAGATACTGCATTTCTAAAAGGCCCCCAGGTGATGCTAGCTGCTGGGTCTGTGGTTGGAGGCATCACAGAGCAGGGCTTAGGGAAAAATGAGAACTTTGAACACATCTGATACAGGTGAGAACATCAAGTTCTAAGTGACTCCCCACTGCTCTGGTCTGAGGATAAGGCCTGGTGGAGCAGGTCCTAGTACCGAGTTAACCAGACCTTTCTTATCTCAACTGCAAGAGCAGCAAGGATGCCTATCAGGAACGTATATTCACCCGGGCAGGGCTGGCACTGGCTGGGCAGGGCAACAGCGGACCGAACAAGAATTCGTACACCGGCCACGCCAGGCTCAGTTACCACCTGACACGATCCTTGTCTATGCACATATATACACATATTCACATATATAATATGTAAGACAACAGCTTTCGTGTCACTTGCACATGCAAAAAAAGTGCAAGAGGTGAGAGACTGACAACCCAGACACAAATTACCAAGAAACAAATGTCAAAGGCAGAGGTCTCAGCACACACGCTCGAAGGCATGTGTCACCATCTCCTGGTTCATTCTGGCTCGGACAGGACAGGTCCCAAGGCCTCGAAGACACGCTCCCCACTCCCCTCCAGGTCTCTAGTCCTCAAGTAGAAGCTCCAGCTCCTCCAGCGGCAGGCGCACCCGGAGCTCCTTCTCCGTCATCAGGTCCAGGATCTCCTGCATCTCATCGGGGAAGTACTCCACGGCGTCCAGGTACAGCACCTGGGGCAGGAGAGCCTAGTCAGCCGGCCACATCTGTCCTGTGAGCCTGCCTGCCTGCCACCCCTCCACAACCCACACTACTCTTCGCTGCACTAACTTGGCAGGACCTCGACGTGGTTCAGGAAGGACTCAAAAGCAGAGGGAAAGGGAATAAACTCCAAGTGGGGCCAGAAGTTGCTGGCAGACACTGCAATCACAATCATCTGATTTCTGAACATCTCCTGACCCAGGCTTGGCAAGGCAGAGTTGGGACATGGATCCCAACACATTCAGCATCTGGGCTGAGCTTTGGGCAAATGCTGGGAACCAGCAGCCTGAAGTGATGCTCCCGTGAAATGCCAGCTCCAGTGCAGGGGAAGGAATCAAGTGCCCCTCAGGCTCCAAAGGGGATACTTTCACTATGACCAGGCCTGGGAGGTGCTCTGTCCCCTGACACTGGCTGGATGAGGCTTAGCAGGAAGGTCCCTGGGAATCTGAAGAGACCATGGTCTTTAGAACTTACCTTTGCCCAGGGACAGTTCTGAAGTGCTTTGTAGAACACACCTTTGCTTCTTTCTTTATTTCCTAAGGAAACCTGAGGCAACGGGAAAAAAATTCAAAAGTGATGAAACAGAGTCAAGGCCCCTCCTGCACTGTTTCATGCAGGGCACCGCCACGGTAACTGCTGGGTGGGGTGGGTCCCTGTCCCACGGGGTCACTGCTGTGTCCCAAAGGGCCTGGAGCTGCTCCTGAACACCTCTGACTCATCACCTCCTCCTTTACTGTGGCCAGCCCACCTCGCATCACTAGGAGTGCCTAGAACGAGGCCTCAAGCATGAGATAAAGGTGATGACTTTACACAGAGAAAATTTTTGCTTCAACACTTGCCATTTTCTGAAAACTATCTTAGAGAAATGAAATAACCAGGATTACTGAATCAGTAACCTTATCAAAAGCAAATTTGCAGTCAGGAATTTCCATCAGAGTGGGCAGATACTCAGCACGTTTTTTCTCTAAGTACATTCTTATACTAAGGTATAAAATCCTTAGTCTCAATTCACAGGCGTTCTTTCCACACCTGCTGTGGAAGCAGGAGCAGCATGTGGCCTCTCCTTAACCAACCACCTCGGGGCCTCTCCCGAGTCCCAGGAAGGGATGTATCACTTGACTGCTCCCCCAGGGAGACAGTCTGCCCGGGCAGCTCCCCAGGCAGGTGTCTGAGGCTGTGATTGGAGCTCATGGAGCTGAGGTCTGTTTCCGGGCTTTCTGTCCACCCACCTCCCCCAGACTTCCCGTTCCCACGGGAGAGCTTTCCAGTGGAGGCCGGCTCTGCCACCAGGCTGTGTCAGGACTGGACCGGTGAAGGCTGTTGACCGATCCCCTAGAAATGACATCGAGGGACTCTATCTACCAAGGATGGCCTCACCTCCTTCTCAGATCTTTCAGGTTAACTCCCACAGACACGGAGACAGTAACTTTGTGCTGTACCAGCCTCTGTGATACCCTTCAGGCGAGCATCAGGCCTTCCCCACTTGCTCCAAGTGCCACCCACCAAGCCAGCCACGTGGTCTGGGGGGATTCCTGCTTCCCCCACCGGCATGAGCCTCGGCCCTTCTGAGGCTGGACCTCTGAATTTACACCCAAGAAGCCAGTGTGAGCTGTCCTTCCTTCACACACCAAAACGCTTCAATGCTAACTGTCCTAAAACACTAAGTAAACTTCAGGCTTATTTCCTTGTTTTTGAAAGAAGAAAAACTGTATTACTGTATTAGTGAGTATTTGTGAGATTCACAGATAATCCTGGAACCCAGCACATCCAGGTACGTAAGTTGGCTGTCCTCAAATGAGCACTGCTCTCTGCTACTTCCTTCATCAGTCGGCCAGCGGAAAATGCCTTTGCTGTGCCAGGTGTGAGAGGGTTAAACGCCAGGTGAAAGACTGGTGGTGACTTTTTCCCATTCAGGATTCAGATTCTAGGACATGGCTTCACATGCACGTTCCCTCTCACCAGAGCAGAGGTTCCAACAGGAAAAAAAGTTCCTGAAAGCTACCCTCTCCACACCCTCCTTCCTCACCTCCTGAACTTTCTCATCTTAACCAACCATGGCTTCCTGCAACATTCCCAAGTCACGCTGGACGGTAACTGGTAGGTGACCCCACGCCCCTGACCCTGTGGGTCACGGCTGGGTGAGCACGTCTCCCTCCTCGGGCAGAGCATCTCTGGGCACCAACCAGGTTCCTGCTCAGAAGTGAAGACGCAGCTAACAAGCTGCTCCCAGGGCTGCTGGGCTCGGTCCCCAAGGAGCCTCGAATTCCGCCCATGACATCCCCAGAGAGAAGCAGAGCGGAGACTTCACACCAAGGCCACCCTCTGGTCAGGAGCTAAGTCGTCCACATGGGGGTGAAAATGAGGCGAGGCTCTGGAAAGCCCTGGCGCTGCGGGTCCTCCACCTGCCGGGGCCTGAGCTGGTCCTCAACCCTGTCCCAGGCCAGGAGGGCCGGGGGGTAAGAGCAGCAGCCGCCCGTCCTCAGTAACAGAACAAGTGCCCGAGCTCCCCAGCTAGGCAAGCTGTGTGGGGGCTCAGCAGTCTCTGGTTTTGGCATTTCTGTACCTTCTTATCTGACACTTGCTGCCTCCACATGGGGGAAGCAACATCTCTGACAAAATGAGAGGGCTGAAGGTCTTCGGGCTTTTGCAAAATTGGATTCTTTTTTCTTATCTGAGTACAAAAGAATCTGACCAACTGTCGGTTTATACAGTTTTTTTTTTAAAGTAATTTGACAGAAACTGATATCCAACCCTCCCTAAATTAAAAAAAAATACATTTCTATACTACTTCATCCACGTACTCCTAAGAGGAGACTCTCTCGCTAGAGGTTTATTTATTCACCACTTGAAAGGTAACTGAAGAGGATTCTTTTCCCTCCCACCAGCTCTTGTAAATGGTGGCCTTTCAATATATCCCAACGTCTACCAGCTGTCCACAGACTGGAAGGAGAAATTATACTTGAGGATAAAATAAAATCTAATGAGTACCAATTTAGAAATGCCACTGTTCCCTTTCTCTTTATTAAGACTTCTTTCATTAGGCTCATGAATTCAGCCACTGGTCTATATACTTAAACTTCTTTATTATGTGGGTACACAGAACAGCATATTTGAAAGTCAACTGCTGTTTGTCCAGTTCCTTTTTTCTCCCATATTCTCCATGGCCAAAAATTGGTTTTAATTTCCACAATCATTTCTGCAGGAGGAAAAAGCAAGCAAGCAAATGCACCTGTGTGTATGAACCACGCATGTCCACATGCCCGCGCACACGGACGGCACGGACGCACAGCCCAACAAGCCTCACGCCCTCCCCCGGGACCCCGGCTCCCTGCTCCTGCCCTCACCTGGCACTTGCAGCCTACTCCTCACATTTGGGCCCTAATTTGATTTTTTCACTGTGTTTATCAAAGCATTAGGACCCCATCCAGATGCTTCAGGAGCTGCTTGGGGAAGTCACTGGCCTAATTAATTCCTGGTCCAATGCTAATCTTTCCAAAAAGATAAAACTCCTTAAGGGTCTCCGTCTTTTTTTTTCAAGTCAACAAGAATTTTTACGTCCATAATCCAACCAGACTTGGCTCATGGCAGAAAAATACTGCAAGTCTGCACCTCACCCTATTCTCCTCTACCTAAAAAAGCCTGGAGAAGTTACACAGGCAAACCTGCAAGCTCTCCCTTGTGTTGACTTTAAAGGTCTTCCAGTGGCCTGGGAAGATTCACAGGGAATTAGCCCTGGAACCGCTAGGGCGCATCCATGTGCTCCTGCGGTGGAGGGGCCTGGACAGAAGTGCAGCTCGGCTGGACCCCAGCTCCCCTGCGCTGCCCCTGCACCACGTCCCTTAACGGGCAGGCCACACGTGCACATGGACACCACACCAGCGTCTGGACCTCTGAAGGTTTCCATTTCACACAAAGAAGTCAAGATACAAAAATCTCCGCTTTTGAGTCTAAGAATAAACATTAAAAACACAGAAACTCTGGTGGCGAGTCATCTTGATGCTGACCTCTGCCCGTTTGTCCTGGGTGTGCCTATGAGCTGCTGCCCCGAGATCCTGCCTCCCCTGCTCCTCAGAGGTCAGGGGACGTACCCAGATGAATTCTGGACACTAAGAGGATGGGAGAGGCCCAAACCACTCCTAACCCCTAACTCACTCTATGTCCCTTTACACCTAACTCTGTCACATGGAAATTGACTCTGTCAATTGGAAATGCTCAAATACTTTGATCAACTTCTGAGAATTTATCCTATGGAAATAATCAGAGATAAACATACATAATGTTTACGTATAAGGAAGGTCACTCCTGGCTTCTGAGAGGTACAATGTTCAACGGAGGTCACCTGGATATGATTTAAGAGCCTTGAGCTAAACAACATTCAAGTGGCCTGGAAGACTGTGTTTCTAAAAAAGCACGCAACCTGGCAGTGGACGTGTTATGGTAAATGAGGCCCCGCCCAGTGCCAGGCCTTCACCAAGGGCAAAGCCAATTCAGCCTCCGTGAAGCCCAGGGACCACCTTTCAGCCTGCACAACACACTAACAAAATCAAACAGCATCTCATCATTCTCAACTACTGCGGCACTCAGACGTAAAAACAAAGCTGCTCTGGAAATGTCTATTTTAAAACCACATTCTAGACTGACCTAGATCAATCGTGTCTCTTACAACAAAAGAGAATCAGAACCTAGAAATTTCTATGAGCAAAATGGCAACAAACGCAGAGAAACCTCAAGACACACCACTGCACCGACAGCCTGGGCCTCACTCCTCACTATCATTCTACCAGAGCCCCCAGCAGGAAAGGCAGCTCGGGAGCCCTTCCGAGTCCGGAGAGACCCGACATCATTCTGCCAGGGCTCCCACAGGGTTAACCGAGGCTGAGAGGCGGGCGGAGGCGGTGGGCCCTCCCAGCCATTCCGTGCCGCGGTCCTGGACACCTGCACTTCCTCACTCATGAAGGAAGAAGTAGAGCTCTGCATGAAAACAAAAACCCTAAATCTTTTCTCACCAAAAAATTCAAATACATCCTCCACAGTAAGGGGCACCGGCTGCCGCTGTCACTCCGCAACGCGTTGTCAAACAGGGCTCTGATCCGATGCGTCAGGCCGGTCTCCGGGATGGTGGCGTGGACCTCCCTGCCGTCCACCCTGCAAGACAAGGGCTCCTGTAATTCCGAGACACCTTCTCACACCCACACCACAGTAGACAGAGATCTGTTAGAGGCAGCAAATGTCAGGGACAACTGGGTCCGAGCACGGGAGGTCGTGCCGTCCCCCAGGTCTGTGGGCACCGGGCTGTGGGGTACAGGTGCAGTGTGGCTCCTTCCATGCCGAGTCTGCCTAGAAGCCACGCACAAACTCCTTGCTTCTCTGTTTTCTATGGAAAACCTACCCTTTCATTAGCAGAATACAAATTGTACTGGATGGGAAGGAAAGATCTTTCAATTGAAAGTAGAGCGAATAAAGTCCCAATGGAAGAAGTAAAAAAGAAGCAAACTGACATACTATTCGGAGGCAATTCTGAAGAGTCGATTTATAAGGCCAGAGTGAGGCAACAACAGAGATTCTGGAAGCAACAGTGATGCCAGAGCTAGTATGTTCCCAAGCCTGTCACTTAGCTTCAGATATAAAACACAGTATCAACAGATGAAAACACAGTATCAACAGATGACGTTTACAACGTGACACTGTCATCATCAGCAGTCATAATTACTAATTATTTTACATGCCCTGTGAGCCCAGCACTCAGTCCTCGGAGCAACGCTCTGAAGTAGATTCTTTAATTGGTCCCATTTTATGGAAGGGAACCTATTAGAAACTTGAAGTGACTTTGCCAAGATCACACAGCTGGTAAGTGGAAGAGCTGGGATTTGAATCCAGATTCCAACTCCAGAGCCTGTGCCCTTACCCACCAGGCTTTTACTACAGCCTCTCAGACGCCTGAAGGCCTGGCAGTCACCACGCGTGCACTGTAAGCAACGCTCAGGACCCCAAGAGCGTGGCCTAGGAAGCCAGCCACAGGCGCCACCAGTGAAAGCTGCTACTACTTGCAAGTCTCTTCTTCCTCTCCTGACTTTTTACTCTACAACATGGAGAACCCCCACGGCAGGTGTTGCAGGCCCTGGCCTGCATTCATGTCCATGTTCCTGAGGACTAGCAGGGCGGGGGAAACACGGCAAGGTCTGTGCACAAGACGATCTGTAGTTACCTCTGCACAGTTTCCACCAGCCTCTTCCTCATTTTCTCAGCTTCAATGGCAAACAACCATGGCTCCAAGGGTTTGGCAGACCTGGTGACAGCATCGAAGAACCGTCTGGTCTTACTGGCGCTGTGGGACTTAGTCTGAATCTGTATATACGCCCTCCAAAGAACCGGGTTGCTGGGATACAGCTTTAAAGCCTCCGAGAGAGCCTCTCGCAGAGGAGCCAGCGGGTAGATGCTGATCTTCATGTGGAATCTGAGCAGGCTCGTGTGCATCAGGGTGACGGCCTCGAGGACCTGGCTCAGGCTCCGGGGCCTGGCACTGACCTCCAGGCCGGAGCCCTCCGGGGAAACAGAGCCCTTCAGTTTTGCAAATACTTGCTCATATATCCGCACCGCACCATCGATCCCTACGGTCAAATACTGGAAGAGCATGAAGCATTTAACCAAGCTAATCAGGCGGTTAAAGGACTCGGTAGGGGTTGGATCGGAGATACAGCTCTCACCCAAACAGTCCTGCAGCGCGTGTTCATAAGCCTTCCGGGCTTTCAAAATGTGAACGCCCAAGACCTGGCCGGTGCAGGGCCCGCAGGGCCCGTTCTCGGCCAGTCTGGTCAGTATGTGAACAGCCCGCGCTGTGGCGGCCCCTCCCGCGTCTGGCAGCAGCTCCACCTCCAGCTCAGCGTACAGGAGGCTGAGCTCACAGAGCTCGTGATCCCTCAGTCCCCTGCTCCCCGCTATGCTGAGGGCCGAATCAAATACTTTTCTGGCGTCCTCTGTGTTGCCGAGCAACCACTCCAGATGCGCGTACTGCTTCCAGAGGCAAAAACTGTTGCGGTTGTCTGGCTCCTTGAGGAGATTCTTGGCTAGTTTTTTGCAGTTCTTTCCTTGTGACTTTAATCTCTTCTTGTTTTTGGTGTGCAGACACCAAATGACCTAAAGGGAGAAAGGAAAGAATGACTCCAGGTGCTCTGAGATATTAAAGCAATCCCTCTGCACTGCCAGCTGCAGAAAGCCATCCAAGGCGTCTTCCTTCATCACGTTCGGGAAACACTTAGGCAACCTGAGAGACAAATCAGGATTTTTTCAAGGCCACGGGTGCCCCAAAATGAACACACCCAGGTTTCCATCTGAAACCCATACAAACAAGGCTTACATACTCCAATGCTCTTCTCCAAAGAGAAGTGACCACCAAATTTTATCAGACACTATTTTAATAACACTGCCTGGTGTGTGCAATCTGCAGTTAAAGTGCCAGAATTTGGGGTGTTCAAATTCAGTACTAACTGGTGGCCAGCAGAGGGCAGAAGAGTCAATCCTAAATGAAATTCTAACAGATAATAGATATAAAGAGCAGGGTAAGTAGCTTATTTTATCTATTTTAATAAGCCCCTAAATCCTCTAACCATGCTTAAGCTTAAGCTTGGTTCTTAACACAAACTGCTCACATAACCACAGACATCTGGTAATAACAAATCAACACAATACACAGCTTCCGTCACTGACGCGCTGGACTCTCTCCTGTTCTCCTCTTCTCTGCGGCCCCTCAGAAGGGCAGCCACACACCCAGTGCCTTCGGGGGTCCCAGAAGGAGGAGAGGCTGCGGCCCAGTGCCCTGAGGAGCCTGGCCATCCCACTGACAAACAGCGACAAGGAAATGAAGTCCCCACTTGGGGAAGGAGAAGGCTGGAGTTACCTTTGCGATCTCATACTGTAACCAAGAGAAGCAGAGCTGAGACCGCTCCTGGCCTGAAAACAAAGGCATCACAAGGTGGAAGATGTTGCGGATGAACTCCTCGCCCTCTCGACCATGACCCCTGGTCCAGCGCCGGCATCCCAACTGGTCCGTGCAGCCGACACAGCTGATGCCGGAAAATGAAAGGTTGAGAAAAGTCAAGGGCTTTTCATCATAAAGTCCATTATCGAAGATGCTGTTCTCATCCATGGCCAGATAGAGGCAGGAGGTTGGAGGGCTGAAGCCGGAAGGCACACCCAAGAACTGCAGAAAGGCCGCAATCAGCTGAAACTGAAGATCCGGGCTGGAAAGTCGGATCAGAGACTGTCCGATATCATCAAACAACACCTGCAATTTTGAAGTCAAAATCAAGTGACCAAATGCAGCAAGCAAACAAAAAGCCTTCACAATTTTTTCCACAATTTTTTTTTTGGATGTACTAGATGAGTCAACATTAGAGGCCTCCTAAGGCCAGCCGAGAGCTGGGGGGTGGGTGCAGGGAGCCCCGCAGTGCCCCCCCGCATCCTCACACATCCTGGGAACTCTCTGAGGGCAGGAGGCAAGACCAAAGTGAAAACTTTCAAGGTGTCCTAATGGAGTCACAGAAAATGCAGAATCACATTCACTTCTAAGAACATAATGGCTTTCATAGTTACTTTGGTAGGTTACAGTTGTGAAAATTTTTATTTTAAGATAGAACAACTTTACTATTTTGTGGTTTCTTTGTACAAAATTGCTTCAAGAAATGACAAATATGCTCAAAAATACATAAATAGCAGCAAGGTAAGACAGAAACTACAGGAAGCAATGACCCACGTTAAGAGCAATGATAAGAGCCTAATACTAACTGGACACGTTTGTAGCTGATTTCACGTAATGACTTTAAAACGTAAGGCCACAGAGACTATGCTGTCTCGGGTCCTGGTTACAACAAAGAGGAGATCAAAACATGAGCCCAATAAAACTGGAGCATCTGGAATGCAACTAATCCAAACCATCAATTCATCAGAAAACGCTTCTCCTCCAGGTTTTGACCAGAGAAAAAAATCTAAGACACTGCTCACAGCAGGAGTTTCTCCAGAAACAAGTTTTCAGAAAATGGCTGAAATGCTGGGCCTGGTGAACAAACTTTGGAAGGTCGACCATAAACTCTAAAACCCTCAAACGGCAAAGACAGACCCCACCCATTCTTCCTGAAGCCTTCAGCTCTGCCAGGGAAGGGACCTCACGTGCAGGCGCATCGACCCCTCCGTGAGCTGAGGTCCCCTAGAGGCTGGCCCCTCCTTCCTGCCCAAGGACCCCCCCTTTCTCTCTTCCCTAATTCCAGTCTGGCCAGCCCCTTCACCACTCCTCGGACATCCCAGGCCCCCTGGAGCCTTCACTCATGCTGATCCCTCTGCCTAGAGCCGAAGCTCTGGCATCAAATATCCCTTCAACATCCAGGACTATTTACTGAGCACTCGCCACAGGACAAGCATCGTGGAGGCACTGGTGACACAGTAGTGAAGGAAACAGAAAAACGTCCCACCCTCAAGGCACGTAATTTTTCGGGAGGGGAACAGACAGCAAGCATGTCAAAGCTCAGGAGCCGCACCTCTGTGAAATCTGTCTGTCCCAGGAATATATCGCATGCCAAGCAGCATGCAGTGGACCCTTGAACCACTCGTGTCACTGATACACAGGTTTGTTTCACTAAGCACACCAGTCCCACGTGACCTGCGGCTGGTGGAATCCGAGGCCATGGAACTGCGGGTACGGAGGGACAACTGCTGAAAAGTCATACCCGGATTTTCGACTGCTCGGGCAGGGCGGGTGCGGTGCTCCTAACCCCTCACACTGGTCAAGGGTCAACCGTAGTTGGTATCTTGTCAAAGTGGCTCAATGACAGGTATCAAGAGAATCTCTTCCTTTATTCTATTGTGAAACTTCCAGAGCTGCTGCCACTAGACACAGAGGAGCAGGTGCCAAGTCCTGCGATGACCGTGGGGAGGTGACGTGAGTGAGTGCCTGGTGCACACAGGTGCTCAGTAAGTGTCCGCTTCTCCCCCAGCAGGAGGCGCTGCACACTGACTGTCCCAGCATGGCCTCACTGCCCCTTGTGTCTTCCAGAGTCAAATCTATCTGCTACATCTCTAAGGATCCAAGAGTGGGGTGGGGAACGGGGACACAGTTAAATGGTCTAGGACAGTGACTCTATGTTTTTAAGCCCTCAGCCCTTGGGCTTCCATGTGAAAAATTAACTGAATAACTCGGAAGACACTCTCCATGGGGGTGACCTGAGAGCTGACCCTGCTCCTTGGGGACAGAAACTATCAGGTCAAGTGCCCTATGCTCCTGATCACCAGCAGCCACAACTATACCCTAGTTTGGGGAAGAGGAAAGTTTCTGGAGACAGGAACAGGAGCAGGCTAGCATCTCCCCAGCCAGGCAAGTGCTCAGAGAGTCCAGTAGCGCTCCTTCTGGGAACCAAACCCAGTGGTTAAAGGCGAGAGAGCAAAGACCCCCCAGGCTGGGGCAGGGACTGGCCTGTCTCTCTGGATCCTCGCAGTCTTCCTCGGTCTGCTTCCTGGTCTTATCGGGGCGCCACGGCCGCCAGTGCCTCTGGTCTCGGGACCGCTCTGCAGCAAGCCAGATCCGCCACCTGGGCAGAGTCTTATCTTTAATTTCCTGGTCATCATCTTCTGGTTCGTCATCATCGTCATCTAGACAAGAACACAGCTTCTAGCAACTGAAACCACCACCAGCACTTACATCTACCTGCTTGTGCCGCTACAGCGGTGGGCACTGGAATACCAAGATGAGTAAGAACTAGGCCCAGCCTTCTGGGACACTCAGTGGCATTTAGAGACTCTCCTATTATCAATCAAGTTTCCACGAAAAAGGGGCAGGTTAACTGATGAAATCAGATGCTTTCAGAAATGCTATCACTGCAATTAAAATGGGAATGACACATATTTTGGAACAGCACTGTCCAGTAGAACTTTCAATGATGACGAAAAAGTTCTATATCTGTGCTGTCTAATATGGTAGCTACCAGCCACATGTGACTTCCTGGGTACCTGAAATGTAGCTGGGAGAATAACTGAATTTTTAATTTTATGTAATTTTAACTAATTTTAACTAAAATAGCCACATGTGGCTAGTGGCTACTGTATTGCATAACACAGTTCTAGAAGGCTAAGTGACATTTAATGACTGTATTGTTTTAGAAATTTTCTTAAGCCATCAGAATTTTTAGCCAGTGGCCTTCTGATGATGACATACATTCACATTTTTTTAAAGAGGCAATTCAAGGTATCTTATACTTTATTTCACTGTTTCCTAACTCTGAACATGCAGAATAGAAGAGGGGAGCTGAGAGAAGCAAGATGGCGAAGTAGAAGGACGCTCATAGCTCACCCTCTCCCACAAACACACCAAAACTCACATCTACAGACCTACTCAGCCAACCAGAGCACCTGCCAAACTCCGACAGAACATCGCCCTCTTCAAAAGACAAAGATGCCAAAAATCTGGTAGGAGAAAAGGAAAAAAGAAAGAAAAAGCAAAACAGTGTGGGAGCAGCAAAGGACTGGCACTCGTTCGCTGGGTCGCCCCCCACCACCGCTCCAACGGAGAGGCCAGTGGGACAGAAGGGGAGCCTCCAAGGCTCAGATCTGCCCCGAGCACCCCTTGACCAACAGAACTGAGTTAAACTGGCACAAAGGGTCCCCGCGACACCCAGACTAAGATGCGAGCCAGCAGCTGGGGCCAGGACAGGCCGCCCAAGCTGGGCGGAGGATGGGGGCGGCTGCACTGAGGCAGCCCCGGGGGACTACAGGGGGCTGTGCACCATGGCTGGGAGGGGATACAAAGCGGAACAACCTCGGTCCCCCATAAATTGCGGGAAAAGCAAAACAACACAGCTGGTATGCCCTGGGGGGAGGGGCGCCATAGCCTTTGTCTCCTCAGACCTGAGCTGCCATTACTGGTGCTTCTCGCGAGAAGAGAGGCTGGTGCAGCCACAGCCGCCATCTCCTCCTGTGAACAGTGCCTGGGCAGGGGGGCCGAGACGTGAATCCGCACCCGGGGGCTCTGCAGCCTCCTGGGCAGGACTGAGACTTGTTTACAGCCCGAGACAGATAGGATCTTTCTGCCCTGGCACCTCAGAGAACTCACGCCACCAGGACGAACAAGCAACTGAGATTTGGCACAGAGCAGGGGCGGGGCCGTTCCGCGGTCTTCCCCAAGCCTGCCTTTGGAGTATCGACCCAAGGCGGAGTGGGCAGCTGCACAGAGCAGCGGAGCGACCGGCGCCGGGAGAGGGCGGGTGGCCACCCCCCTTCCTGGCAGGAATGCAGCACCTGACCACGGTGCTGGGAGGGGGCGCAATCCGCCCACTTGCCTCCCTGCCCAGCACAGCATCTGACTGTGGCATCGGGAGGAGGAGTCACCCGCCCACCCACCAGGTAAGAGCTCAGCTCCTGACCCAGTGTTGGGAGGGGGCACAATCTGCTAGCCGACAGCCATGGGAGCAGCACAGACGAGCACGCCAACAGAGGGCCTCTAGAAACAGCAAGCTGAGGTCACGAAACAGGGTGAAGACACAAAGACCTCTTGATAAAATCATTAAGAGCACACTATCTCCAGGAGAAGTAGATAACTGATACTCCTTAAGCCACAGTGCCAGAGAGATATGAGCAATATGAAGAAGCAGAGGAACCACTCCCAATTAAAAGAGCAAGAGAAATCCCCTGAAAGCACGATCAAGGAAATAGACATTGATGGCCTACTAGATCAAGATTTCAAAAAAGGAGTGATCAAAGTACTGAAGGAACTAAAAGAAATAGTGTTTAGAGATATAAAATATGTCAAAAATGAAATAGAGGCTATAAAGAAGAACCATGTAGAATTAGTAAACTCACTTGCTGAGATGAGAGTTGACCTAAAGGCTGTACAAAGCAGGCTAGGTAATGCAGAGGAACGAATAAGTGATCTAGAAGACAGGACAACAGAAAGCACCCAAGCAGAACAGCTGAGAGAAAAACAAATAAAAACAATGAAAACAATATAAGGGACCTATGGGATAATATAAAGTGTGCCAATCTACACATAATAGGGGTTCCAGAAGAGGAAGAAAGAACAATGGGGATTGAAAAGGTATTTGAAGAAATCATGACTGAAAACTTCCCAAACCTAAAAGAAAGAATCAGATATCCAAGTGCAGGAGGCTCAGAGGGTCCCAAACAGGAAGAATCCAAACAGACACACACCAAGACATATCATAATCAAGATGGCCAGAGTCATGGATAAAGAAATGATCCTAAAGGCAGCAAGAGAAAAACAAAGAGTGAGTTACAAGGGAACCCCCATAAGGCTCTCAGCTGATTTCTCTACACAGACACTACAGGCCAGAAGGGAGTGGCAAGATATATTCAAAGTCCTGAATGAAAAAAAGATGCAGCCTAGGATACTCTATCCTTTAGGATAGAAGAAGAGATAAAAGAACTTCATAGACAAGCAAAAACTAAAAGAATTTAGCAACACTAAACCCATGCTAAAAGAAATAATGACAAGTCTACTCTCAATAGAAAAGAAGCAGGATGCTACAAAAATGAGAAACTCATAACTGGAAAGGAGATAACTGCCATGAATTACAAAAAGAATAAACACAAAATTGTAAAAGAAGATACCTAAATCATTAAGAGTGGGAGAGAAAAGCAAGGAAAGCCACTGTGGAAAACAGTATGGAGATTCCTCAAAAGACTAGGAATAGACTTCCCATGTGACCCAGGAATCTCACTCCTGGGCATATATCCATAAGGAACCCTACTTCAAAAAGACACCTGCACCCCAATGTTCATAGCAGCACCATTTACAACAGCCAAGACATGGAAGCAGCCTAGATGTCCATCAACAGATGACTGAATAAAGAAGATGTGGTCTATTTATATGATGGAATGCTATTCAGCTACAAAAACCGACAACATAATGCCATTTGCAGCAAAATGGACGTTTCTGGGGAATGTCATTCTAAGTGAAGTAAGTCAGAAAGAGAAAGAAAAATACCATATGAGATCGCTCATATGAGAAATCTAAAAATAAAAACCCAAACAAACAAAAACATAAATACAAAACAGAAACAGATTCATAAACATAGAATACAAACTTGTGGTTGCCAAGGGGGTGGGGGGTGGGAAGGGACAGACTGCGATTTTAAAATGCAGAATAGATAAACAAGATTACTGTATAGCACAGGGAAAAATATACAAGATCTTGTGGTGTCTCATGACAATGAATATATACATGTTCATGTATGACTGAAAACTTGTGCTCTACACTAGAATTTGACACAACATTGTAAAATAACTATTACTCAATAAAAAATGTAAAAAAAACAAAAAGAAAGAAGAGGGGAAAATTCTGAGTCTTCATAAAGATCAATATTTAAAAACAGACAAACAGGGTATGTAAGATTGTACAGCCACCTAGAACACAGTTTGGCAGTTTCTCATAAAACGAAACATGCACTTATCATAAAATCCAGAAACTGCATTCTTGGTTGCTGATCACAGAAAAATAAAAACTACGTTCACACAGAAACCTATACACTAACGCCTAAAGCAGTTATATTCATAATAGCCAAAACCTGGAAACGACCTGAATGTCCTACAGAAGATGAACAGTGAAACAAACGGTGGTCCATCTATACCATGGGTACCACTAAGCAAGAAACAGGAACAAACCGCTGATACAAGCAACAACGTGGCTGAATCTCAGGGAAATTATGCCAAGTTAAAAAAAACAAAAAGCACCAATCTTAAAAAGTTACACAGAAAACAAACGCTGGTGAGGATGAAGAAACTGGAACCCTTGAGCGTGGGTGGTGGGGATGTAAAATGGTGCAGCCAATGTAGAAAACAGTACGATGGTTCTTCAAAGGATTAAACATAAACTATCATATGTTCTGGCAATTCCACTTCTTGGTATATCCCCAAAAGAAAGCAGGGTCTCAAAGAAATACTTGTATATCCATGTTCACATGGTATTATTCACAACTGCCAAAAGGTGAAGCAATCCAAGCGTCCTTCGATAGATAGAGAGAAATGAAATGTGGTCTGTGCTGACAATGGAAAATTATTCAGCCTTAAAAAGGAAGGGAATATTGACACATGCTACATATTGTATGGATCTTGAAGACATGCTTTATGAAATAAGCCAGCCACAAAACAAGTACTGTATGATTGCACTTAAATGGCATTCTTAAGTAGTTAAGTACTCGGATCCACAGAGACAGAAAGCAGAGTGGTGGCTCTCCAGGCTGCAGAGGCAGCATTAGGATGGAGAGTTAACATTTAACAGGTATAGAGTTTCAGTTGGGGAGGATGAAAAAGTTGAGGAGGTTGACAGAGGTGATGATGGTTGCACAAGAGTCTGAAAGTAATTAATGTCACAGAACCGTACCCTTTAAAATGGTACATTTTGTGTAATTTTATAATAAAAAATGTTGAAAAAAGTTACATGCCATATGATTCCATTTATATAAACATATGTGAAAAAAACAATAATATAGTAACAGAAATGGAGAACAGATTAGTCATAGGGGTGGGGACAGAGGGGGAGGTGGACGTGTCTCAAAAGGTCCCTCCACCGCGTTAGTGGTGACAGGGACCCTGCCTGTCTGGAGCCTTGCACTGCCACGCAGACCTTAGCTAACACAAGTTTCCATTCCTCAGATGAAGAGACCAAGGCCCAGAAAGCTCACACCCTGTGAGAAGAACCTGGCCAGGCCTGGCCTCTCTCCCTCTCCCACTTTCAACAAAACCAGGGAGTGGAGCAATTTCTGAATAGCCAAGAGCTGAGCTGTCCAATCAGAAGCCATCAGCACGTCACGCACTTGAAAGTGGCTGGTCTGAACTGAGACGTGCCCTAAGTGTCAAATATACACGAGAGTTTGTTTGAACAAAAGAAGGCAAAACATCTCATTCGTCTTTTTAATACTGATTACATGTTGAAATGGTAACGTTGTGATATACTAGGTTAAACAAAATACATTATCAAAATTCATTTCACCTGCTTCTTTTTACTTTTTTGATGTAACTACTAGAAAATGTGAAGTTACGTACATGGCTTGAATCATACTTCTGTTGGCCACTGTCATGTTAAGAGTGTAAATCTGGAAACTACTTTGGAGTCATTTAGAATGACAGTTTCATAAATGCTAGTTAATAATTATAGTATTCCTAAAAAGGCAAGTATTTTTCAAAGAATATGCTGGTCTGTACATTGCCAAGGAAACAAAAAGACTGTTTTAAATACACACTGAAATGGGAGGAGGGGGAGCAGGGGATTAGTAACAAAATTACTAATCAGAAGCAACCTACAAAAGGAAAAATGAAAATTACTTCCTCTAGAAAATGAATGTATGTATGTTCATGTATGACTGAAGCATTGTGCTGTACACCAGAAATTGACACACTGTAAACTGGCTATATTTCGATAAATATAAATCTATGTTTGTGTATGTATGTATATATATATATATATATATATACACACACATACATATACAAAAAAAAATTACTTCCTCTGAGAAGACGCAAACCCTCACAGCGTATGTACTAAAGGAACTGGGGGTGGGGGGGTCACTTTACAGATGCTAAGGGAAGAAACAGTCTATTCTCCCAGCTCATTTACTTCATGTATTTTTGACATTTTGATGTTTGTATAACGTTCTTAAGCTACTGATAAATAGCTTATACATATAAACAAATAATCCCTGAATAGGTAAAAGCAAATTCTAGGAGGAAAAGGCATCGCAGCTCAACCGAGAGGCACCTTACCTGGGCTGACGACCACCCAGCCGCCCCGCTCCTGCTGGTGCATCCACGCTCTCCAGCCTCGAGCGCCCTTCTCCCCAGCCCGCGGCTCTCCACTGTCCCAAAAGGGCTCAAAGAATTCCACCTGTCCGGATTTAAAACATGGAGGTTAGGCCACCTTGTCCACAACTGCTGAGTCACTGGGCAAAATAAGTGCTGACTGGCGTAACAGGGGCTTATGATTCCTGAAATCTTGCTCGTTGTTAGTCTTGGGAGGAGATACCTGATACACACGTCAAAACAGAAAAAACAATTATCCAGTGTGACAGGCAGCCACCAGGCTAGCCTCCCGTGACCGTGACCCTGCCCCTGCCTTGTGGTATTCACACCCTTGAGCATGAGCTGGACCTAAGTGACTTCTCCCAACAAATAGAACGTGGCACAAGGAGATGGGATGGCACCTCTGAGCTTAGGTTACAAAAAGCCTGGCCACGCCCGAGAGGGACCTGCAGCCGGGGAGGAGAGGGCTGGTTTCCCAGCTCTGACGCTGGCAGGCCAGTCTAACCAGGACAGTGGCACTGCCAGTTTCCAGAATCCCACGGGGCCCCCTAACTAGTACCCAAAGTCAAGTTGCCGCTAAGAACTTTTGAGGGGAAGGAGATTCAAAGTCTTCTTTTCAGTTGAAGTTTAGTTGATTTACAATATTATATTAGCAAAGTTTCCACAGGACAGACTGTGAGCTCGAGGGCCTGACCACATCTCAGTTACGGTGTGTTCCCAACACCTGGCACAGGGCCCCCACGGAGTGCAGACTCAGTAAATGCTTGCTGGCTCAGCGCTGAACATGGTAGGCACCCAGTGAATAAAAAGGTCCACGTGTGACAGCCTGGCCCGTCCCTCCTTCATTTGGCCGTCAGTCCGCAGTGTGGGGAGTGGACCAAGGGCAGCAGTTCCGCGTGGGACGGAATGTGAACACTGCAACCCACAGTAGAGCGATCACATCATCACCTGACAATCAGGACTTTAAGACTGAGCCAGTAACCTGCTCAATGAAAGCTTGTGTAGGAAACCTTTTGAAGAGGACAAGCAGGCTTCCAAAGGGCACACGGTGGGCCAGGAGCCGCAGGACTGCCCGGCCAGAGCCACGCACCCCGGGAAGAGGGCAGAGCCCCGGACTCCGAGTTTACCCAGCAGCCACCCAGGGAGGGGAAACGCAAGGCTACCCTCCCTCTTTACAGGGTTTGCTCTTATCAAAGGGATGGAAGAAAGCCCACTCGAGAGAAAGGCTCTGCCTATTTACAGTGTTTATGCTACCAATGTCTCCGTTATAAAGATGTGGAATGTTACTAAACTAAAATTCAAAGTTGTCGTGTAAATGCTCTGGAACTCAGACCTCTTATTCGCAGGATGCCTACCCTGTTCAGCTCTGTGCCAACAAGCACTGAGTCCCCACTGTGTGCTGGGCACGGTGCCAGGTGTTAGGAACACATGTTGTGCTGAGACGTGGTCACGCCCTCCAGAATATTTACAACCTCAAGTGTGTGGGTCCAGACTCCCTTCAGTCCCTCATCAGCACCTACTCTCATCACGGACGGTGAGTGTCGGCAAAGGGGTGGGGACAAGGGCGACTGGGATCCTGACCTCCAGCCACACACCCAACACTCTGCAGAGGCTAAGAATCACTTCGGTAGCACAGCGTGTTCTTAAAATAGCAAAGTGTGTCTTAAAATAACTGTATTACCTGCCTTATTGTACTAACAACCAGTTATACCAATACTAACCAATATTTTGTCTAGGGAAAAAAACGTTAAAAATAATGATAAAAATAGTCTTTACAAGCAATTCATGAAAACTCCACAAGATGGAGACCTTAGCCTCTTGTGAAAGACCTTTGAAAGTTCACTGTAAATTCAGATATCCTATCCATCTCCCGCCAAACCCTCTGTGCCAAGTAGGAAACAGTTTTCTTGAGTGGAAAAAGGAAAAAGAAAGTTTTTCTTATGGACAGCTCTACAGTGAGATTTTTTTTAATTGCTACATATTATTTTTTTTTAATTGCTACAAATACTGGCAATGTTCACTCATCATCTAAACAATTAACCCCTCCCCAATTAGAATCAGTGTTGACAAAGCACCAAGGTGTAAGGTCATTTGCAACTCCGGCAAAGATTTTAGGTAGTGGGAAGGTTAACTGGGGAGGAGACACGAGACCCAGACTAGACTGCACGGAGGAAGGACAGAGCACCCGTGGTTCAGAAGGCACGACAACTGTCTCCCGGCGGGTGGGGACAGTGAGCATTTAAATGGGGAGGAGGGCCATAAGTGAGGGCAAAGAGGAACATAAGTGAGTCTTTATCTCTGGGAAGGTGGGGGGATCTTCTTTCCTCTTCTCCACGTTTCACTACTTTCATTTGGGAATTTCCCTTGCAGTGCCAGAATATTTCTGAGGAATAATCCTCAACAGGACTGGTGCACAGGAGGATGGATATAAATATTTTAAAAACATTACCACCACCTCCCACTATCCACATCCACCACCAGAAGAGGAGGGACAGGAGGACGGGGAGGCAGAACGGTACCTGTCCTTTCGTAGGCAGATCTTTCACGCTGTCGGGTTTGAAGAAGGTGAAGTCAACCATGGCCTGGAACAGAGAGACCGCCTTCTCCGCGTGCCCGGCCTGCCGCAGGAAGTGGCACTGCTGAAGAAAGAGAGCTGAAGGCAGGGAGAGCAGACGGGGACAAGCTGGTTAACACCTCTCAAAGGGGAGAACGTCACCTCTACAAACATGCAGTTGAACACCCAGAACACCTTTTCCCTGAAATCAATGACTGTTATGTTTTCGAAGACATACATGTCCTGATTTAGAAGGACTCACATTAGGACTACAATCAAGTTTATTCAGTCTGATTTTTAAATGAAACTGTCACAGAGTACAAATATTAACAATAAAATAAGGCAAGAGGTTGGTCTGAATACTGGTTATCAAATACTCAAAGCTCACTATTACATGGAAAAATTCTAGGGAAAAAAATGGCAGATTAGATTTTTTTATCAGAAGGCAAAGATGTGTACTCTACTGACCACTAGATGGCATTATTCACCAGCAAATTTTCATCGTGTACTCGGTCTGCTGTAAACAAATCAGGGTTCCATGTTTGAAGATTTCAGTCTGTCTTAACTGTGGTATAGTTCCATCTACTAAATACCATTAAGCCACTTGAGCATATCACAAATGACATCAAACATACGGCTCTTTAAGTCGGTCAGGTAAACCATTATTATTTCCAGAGCAATATATTTCTATCTTTAGAATTAGTAGCCATATTCAATAACAGGGATTTGATCAAATGAACGTCTGCTATGCGCCAGACACTGAGCTGGACTCAACACGTATTATTGCAGCCGATATGCACAATGATCCTGGAAAGCAGGTATCGTACTGTTGTTGCTGAGGGAGGAACTAGAGCTCAAACAGGTGGAGGAATCTACCCAAGGTTGCACGAGAACCAATGAAGGGCAAACCCAGGATTCAAGTCAAAAGTGATACGCTCCAGTTCCTGCATAACATGCGGTCTCCCATATCTCATTACTGGACAAACTGTACATGCCAAAAAAGTTAACAGTATAACAATACCAATGACCTATATCTATACAGTGATTCCCAGCTGGTCAGAGCATCCTACAGGACTGAGACTCTGTGACTGGGTGAGAGGAATACAGGCATCTCAACAGACAAGCCACCCACAGCCACAGCAGTTACGTTTACTTGATTAATACGTCGAAAAGTTGGAACTTCTAGTCTAGTGACGCTTCCCTAACTCTACTGTTTCTAATGCTCCCCACCACCAAGACGTTGGAGGGGGGAGACTCTGTTATCAAAAGAAGTCATAGTACTTTTTTAAAAAAACAGTTTTATTGATTAAGACTTTCCTAAATTAAACCAAAAATAAATCTTCATTTTCAACCAAAGCCAAAAGAAAGTACAGCTCCTCCCTGGTAAGTGGACCTGGCCATTGTCTCCTTACCAAACATGGCGTCCTCGGTGCCGGGCAGCTCGGGGTGAGATAAGATGCTGCCGTCCTTAACGGCAGACAACGTACTCAAGCATTTTCCATACAGACTCTGAATTTTTGATATGGAAAAGGTGCTGAACTGGCTCTGGCAAAACAGAAGGTATTTCTGCCACAGGCCTGTATTGTTGGGATGCAGGAAGATCAGTTTCTGCCACTCTTTGAGCAGCGTCGGGGGCTCCCAGAACGCGGTGCAGAGCTGCAGCTTGGCGAGCTTCAGGTCCATGCTGCTCTGGTTGCTTTCGATGGCCCGCTCCAGAATGGCCAGCTTCTTCTCCAGGACCAGCCGCAGGGACCGCTTCTGCTTTTCCTGCTGTCCTTCCTCCGCGGCGTACAGGCCGGGACTTCTCATGACCTCGTCCTCAACGACAAAAACACTGATTCACAAACGCAAGTGGAACTGGGGGACCCTCAGGGTTGAGAGTGACTTGCAAGCCCCAAAGGGTTTCTCACCTCTCAAAACGAACTGTTATTCAGACTTTCTTGATGACCACTTATCATACCTTCTTCTAATGAGAACTCTTAGGGATCCCAGGCAGCCTGTACTCCCGACCATGCTTGGCCTCATGTTCTTTTCAACTAATTTACCGGCGCACGCTGCCATTTTAAACTTAGATTTATGTATCAATAACTAGCTTGCAGTGTCTAGAAAACCTTTTCTGAAGAGTCAATTTTATCAGTAACACAGCCAAAAGTGGGACGAAATATGATAATTCTATAAGTGGTTCAAAAAATGTGTGGGACTAAGACAAATCCATATATTTCAGAAAGGAGGCACACAGCTCCAAGGAATTTCACTGGTAGCCCCTCCGCTTCTGCAATTCTGTGCATCTGGCATGCTGTGTTTGCACCTTAGGAACACCTCTACCTGCCTGGTGAGCATCCTCTTCTCTCACGGTTCTGTTCAAGTGTCACCTGGGAGCCCTTCCTTACTCCCAAGTGGCACGTCACTCCTCCACTCTACCCCAAATGACATGTTATAGCGCTGATTACCCCAGACTGCATTTGCCCTTCACATGTCAGTCTTCCTCTTGGACTTTGAGCAAACTCAGGGCAAGGGCTATATTCTAATCATCTTTGGAGGACCGGTGCCAGGGCTCCGCATAGGAGCTCAAAAATTGCTGCAGAGTACATCAGTTTGCCCCAACTAGGACCATCATCCTAACAGAGAACTGGGACAGTGAAACCTACCTGAAAAGCAACAAACGCCATCCACAGCTGAACATCCCGAGGATTCTCCCGAACCCTCCTGTTAAAATCCTCCACCTTGGCCTTGAGAATCGCATTCTCTCTGCCTGGCTGTGGGTCTGGCTGCTTGGATTCTTGCTCTGAAGGACCCTGTCCTTGCAACCACTGCGTGGTGGATAGATCGTAAATCCCCAGAGGGTTCAGCCAGGTTGTAACAGGAGAAACCACATCCTCTGAGTCCTTCACTGGGATAAACGAGAGTGGCTCGGATGACGGAGGTTCGGTTTTACCGCTAACGGCAACTCCGTCAATGTTCATTAATCCCACATTCTTCCTTGTGAAATAGCGCTCGACACGCTTGTGTGAACGCTTCTTTTCTGTGGACGTCCCCTCCCAAGATACACATTGCTTCTTAGGGTTAATGCCAAGGCAGGAGTCTCCTTTCCTCTTGTATCTTAAATTTGAAAAAGAAAACAAGTTACTCAGAGAGTGTGTGCACCAGGAGTGCCCGCGGGCTCAGTGGACAACTCTTGTGACGCCAGTTAACCACACAGATTTACATTCACCTTACCTTCCAGTTGCTTCTGTTTAGAGAAATACGAGGATTAGCATTAACTTTTTCTGCCTGATTGCTTATTCCTCTAACACGACTCTTCGTTAATGTCTCATAAACTGAAGATCCTGCCTGTCGTCCAGATCTTAGTAACTTATATTTTCCTGAAGCTTTGTAAAGTACTGTCACACACATTATGTCATTTGATCAACACAATCACGTGTGACAGGCAAGGCGGAAATTATCATCCCCTCTTTTACACTATTTCTAAGTAAGAGCACTGAGACCACAGGTGACACTAGGTCATCTGTCTCCTCGACCGGTCCCTTTCCTCAGTGCTGTCGTGGGTCCCTATTAAGAAGATAACAGATAGGTCTAAGATGCTTTTTTTGAATCCTGAAACAAAGCATGTCAAATAAAATTACATTTGGCTATTTTGTACCCGACAGGAAAAAAAGCTGGTTTCTAAAATGCTTTTATGGATCATGTGGGCGTCCCCAGAGTCACAAACACATGACTACTGATATCTGCACAAAAACTAAGGAAAACTGTGTACTTTCCTGTTTGTGTGTTATACAAACAATCCAATTAAAAAGGGCAACGGCTCTCAACAGAAACATCACGAATGGCCAACAAGCACATGAAAAAGTGCTCAACATCATCAGTCATCAAGGAAACACAAATTAAAGCCACAACGAGATACAGCACATACCCACCAGGATAGCTAAAATTAAAAGGACTGACAACACCATACATTGGCGAGTAATCTGTGGAGTAATCAGGACTCTCATATGCTGCTGGTGGAACTGTAAGCTGGTACAAGCACTTTGGGAAAAGTTCTGGCAGTTTCTTTAAAAAACTAAACACAGATCTACCCTATGACCCAGCAATTCTAGTCCTAAGTATTTATGGAAAAAAAAGGAAAACACATATCTACACAAAGAGCTTTGCAGCTTTATGCATAACAGCCAAATTCTAGAAAAAGTCCAGGTGCCCATCCATAGGATAATGGATAAACAAATGGTGGTATGGCCACACAACAGAATACCACCGGCAGGAAAGAGGAACTACTGAGAAATGCTACAACGTGGATGAAACTCAAAACATTACACCAAGAGACAGAAGCCAGACACAAAACAGCACGCACTATGATTCCATTCATATGAAATCTCGAATAGACAACTAATTGATGGTGGAAAAAAATTAAAACTGTAATTTTCTCTGGGGAGGTGGGGTGTGGACTGAGTAGAAAGGAACCGGAGGGAACTTTCTGGGGTCATGGCAATGTTCTCTGTTTTCACAGATGTCTAGGTTATACAGGCATATGCACTGGTCAACACTCAGCCAATAAAGATGTGTATTATTACACTGTACATAAAGTTTAAGTCAGAAGAAAAAATAAATGAATCGAACTTTAGTTGATGACATGCACACTGAAGTATTTAGGGGGCAATGTACTGATTTCTATAATTTACTCTGAAATGCATCAAAAAATAAAGACGGGTTGATAGCTGAATGGACAAGTACATGGTCAGGCAAGTACAGAAATGTGAATGGTAGAATGCAGGGCATGGATATATGAGTGTGCACTGCAAAAGGAAAGGAAAAGAAAGAAAAGGAAAAGGAACGGAAAGAAAAGAGGGAAAGGGTTTGGAAAGTGAGTATGTTTAAATCAAGCACCCAATTCTGCCCTGAATCCACACAGTGAGTCTTGAGCCCCGGAGTGAGCGGGGCTGGGCAACATAAATCTGCCTTCCCTCAGTGAATTCAGTTCACACGTGCCTTCCCACAGTGTCAGACTGCCTGGGTCCAAATTCCAACTCCACCATCTACTAGCTGGACGACTGTGATCAAGTTTTAAAAAACAGTGTCTCCGCTTCCTCATCTGTAAAAGAGGAATAACAACAGTACCTTATGCCACAGAATTGCTGGGATGATCAAAAAAGGTTCCTCAGCCATACAGTAAGGGCTAGGTAGGTTTAAATTGTTATTATTATTTCATACATCTTGGCTCCTAAACCTAAGCCAACTATTTCATCTGGTATGCAGCCAAAGGAACAATAATCTCTTCCAAACATGGAGAAAAAACTAGCTGAACTTCACTGACAGATAGTGTACTATTCCTAAGGAATTTTCCAAAGGTGATTTTGACTCAGTTACACACTAACTTTAGAACCTAAGCCCTGTTTACCACAACGCTCCAGCACACACCGTGTCATTGCTGGGATGCTCACGCTATTAGGCCTGCTTTTATGCTGGGCCAAACTTCCACTCACTGGTCCTGGTTCTGCCTTCCCAAGTTACATAGCACGTTGCCAACCCACCTTCCAGAAGACAGTCCAACAACGCTCACAAGACAACGAGCACAGCCCTGATACAGGCCAACACCCCCCCAGCCCTTGCCTAGTCCTCACAGGACGGCACAAGCCAAGCGTCTGCTCACCTTCCTCCCGACGCTCTTGGCTGGTCAGTGTCCCTCTTAAAAAACAAAAACTCAGCACCTGACGCAGGACTCCCACCACCCTCTGACCAGCTCAGAGTGCCACGGGATCAGCGTCTCCCCCGACCTGGACACTAGCAGCTGTACAGCTATTAATCTGGGCAAGACTTCCCTCCCTTAAACATTAGGAAATCACAACAATGCCCTCCGCCCTTTACAGCAGTCTCTCTGCAGTTTGATTCATACGGTTGTCTCTACGCTTCCTCAGGTCTGGGCCATTCACTAGCAGAGGCTCACGAGCCACTCTTTGTTAATATTGTTTCCTTTTTTCATCTAATTACTAAGCAATAACCTTTTATATTTGCACACCAATTCCTAATCCCATATCAAATATCTCTGATATTTGAATGTAAGGCACAGCAAGGAGTTACAATTCCCAATTTACAGACGAATAAGCGGAAGCTCAGAAAGGCGAAGTGACTTGCCTGGTTACATTACCAGCCAAGGGCAAAGTTAGAACGAGAACCAGAGTCTTCTGTTTCCCAGTCTAGAAAATGTCCCGCCACACAACCTGTCTCAGCTTTGTTTACAGCCCGGGAAAGAACATTCGGAGTCAGAGGAACAAAGGTGTAGATCCCAACTCTCCTGCTTCCTGGTTGCATGACCGTGAGAAGACACTTAACCTGAGACTCCTTTCCCTCGTCGATAAAACCAGAGTGCCTCCTCCCCACATGCTGCGGGGATCAGCCAGGCTAACATCAGTAAACAGTACAGCGCCCCATCAGTGTGCACTGGGCATGTCTCCACCTGCGGCACGGGACCATGGAGGCACAGAAAGCCAAGTAAGACTTCAGGGAGTGTTAAAATCATTCAAAATATACAAATACATTTTAGGTAGGGTAGTCATTTCCGCTCTGCCATGAGGATGTAGTAGACAATATGGCGATATAAATATGCAGCACAAAATAACTCATATAAACTCATCATAGGGGAAATTTTAGTTGGAATTGCTTATGTGGTGAGTTATAATGTCATGGTGAGTGAAAACATGATTAAAATTTGGAGGTGCAGTAAAGTAATGGCCGTCCAGGCCTCCTCTTGGCCTAATAGTCCACGATTCTCTCTCTTTGGTTTTCATTACCTGTAAGCTATTTGGGAACAGAGATTGTCTACTATTGTTCATTATGCTCCCAAGAGTGGCTTACAAAGTCCTAAGTGTCTACAGAGTTTATTAAGGATTCAAATATTGTTGATGGACAGATTAGAGAAGAAAAGTTTAGACTCATTACTGAAGCAAGCAGCTATTTTTATGATTATCTGGTGACATAAGCTGGAAACATTTTGAAAAAGTCATTACCATTTAATGTCATTTTTTAAAAGGCATGCATCGGGGTGGATTAATAAAAGGCTTTTTTAACTTATTAAAATGGCATGTGGATTAGATCGAATGGTTTACAGACAGTTTATCACGATCATTTTAAGGTATTTTCAGCTTCATTCATTCAACGAGCAGTTATTGAACACCTACTATGCCACACACTCCGCCAAGCACTAAGTGGCTAAAGAGGATTAATCTGACCTGGATCCTAATCTCAAGGTTTAACTTTTATTTTAAAATGTGAGATTACTCACCTTCTATTGTTTACACCTAAACAACTTAACAATGGGTGAAACTCAACAGAGTCTATGGGTGGGTAGGCAAAGAGACAGAGACAGACAGTGCTGAGCGTTCGGCAGGGAGAGGGGGGTCACTGCCCAGCAGGGAGCACCCGGGGGGATGCCGTGAAGGCTACCTGGCTATATCTCCTCGGTAAAGGGACTTGTACTCCCAGTTTGCAGGATCTGGCCTCTTATCTGTTCTGAAGGTTTCTCCTGTCAGAGTCTGAATGTCCTCAAGCCAAACAGAGTGACGTCCAGTATCAGCAGCAGCATTGTTTTCTTGACTGTGGGACACAGGAAGGTGAAGAAGAGAAAGGGAGAGGCACTTAGAAAGCTTCCAGGTACATATTTCACACTTCAGAAACATGAAAGTCAAACATTTCAAACTCCACACAGTATCAAGCACACCCAAGTACATAAAATGCGCACATGCCCTAGAGATGGGAAGAGGACGCTTACTCTGGAAAAAGTTTTAAAATATGAAGCAAAAATTGTCAATACTAAGTGGCATTTTACCAAGAAAAGAAGCCATCCCAGAAATTAATGTAAAGGATATAGCTGGGTTTTTTTTTAAATAACTTATTTAAATGATTATAACAGGAATTTCAAATATATTTATAAACAAGTTTTTTTTAAAAAAAAAAAAAGAAAAAGTAAGGCTGCCCTTACTGCGCCTAACTTATCTGAAAGTGCTCAGATAATTTATTTCAACTCATAACAACAACAAAGCCACAGTTCTGAATGGCTCAGTCTTAGATGTTCCTTAGGCTTGGTCTAAGCCTGATGTTTAATGTCTGAGTTCTACATAGGGGTTTTACCTGTACAGACAGACCTCCACGTAAAGGGCAGAGAGGCCACTGTGAGACGAGACCCTTACTTATCCCTTTGAACCAATTTGTGAGTTGGCAGACTTTCAGCTCAGATACAAATGAACCAGCTCCCTAGGAGTCAAATAAGAGGGAGGCAAAGGTTTTTCTGGCATCTAACAGCTTTCTGCCTCCAGAGAAAATCGGTTCACAATGCTGCTGACACAAGACGCTGCCAAAGGAGTCAAAACAGCCACTGAGTGTTGTTCCATCTTTGCTTTTTTGGCTCTGCCCAGATAGAAATAAAGATTCTAAAGGCTTCTAAGTCATTCTTGGCTGGGAACATGAGGGAATGGCATTTCAGGGATGCAAAGTAGCTACTCAATAAATATTTGTTGAATGATGCATCTCAGGTTAAAATACATGGAGATGTTAACACATTCCCCTTCAGAACAACTGTGGAGAGTTTTTTGATGACAGAAACCGACAGGGGCAGCAAAGGGAGAGACAGAGTTTGATGTAACAAGCCTGTTTCCCTCCCCTCCTGGGTACTGAGGTCAGAAAGCAGGATGTGGTCTGGGCTTATACAAGGAAGGTGAAGAGGAGCTCATCCCAGGAAGCAAAGGTCAGTCAGAAGCGGTGGCCTCCTGAGAAGTCACCCCTCCATCCCCCATACGGTACACCCCACCCCCATCAGCAAGGAACCACTTTCCTGACATCACGGAAAGACTCTCAGCTCACTAACATCAGAGTCCTGGTCTCAGCGGAAATAAACCATCCTTCCAGGGGGCCTTCCCAGGAAGGGTCCACAGAAGTGAGCCGTGAACAGTAAAAGACAAGAACAACCCACTTCAGTCCTAATGGAAATCGTCTACAAAATACCAACAAACTTAGAAATGCTGTCTGGATCATAAAACTATCACGAGGCTGTAAAGATCACTTCTGATGTGCTTAAGCACAGGCTGAAAATAACTCTTTCAAGTTCTTGTGGTAGTTCCTGTGCCGTTTCGGGAAATCCCTTAAAACTCGTTTTCCTCAGCCATAAAAAAAGACAAATAGCTGAAGTATGAGTCTTCGGGTCACACAGTGATTAAAGTATTTCGCTCTGAAGACATAGGAAAGAGCAGGACCATCAGTGCCGTATTCATCCGCTCATTCACGTAACAGAAGCGTGCTGCGTGTTTACTACGCATCAGGCTCCACGCCAGCCGCGGCAGGGAAGCTGCGAGGAAGCCAGGAGCGGTGCCTGCCCACAGAGATTCGGCCAAATTCAGAACCTTGCTGCTAGACTCTTTTCTTCTTTCGTCCTCTAGGGTTACAGGTATAGCATCTGAGACACAGAGAGGGCAAGTAAATCTGGATCCTCAGAGCACGGAGGCCTGCGGCCTTCTCCGACGCTGATCTGATGACAGAGGATGCTGGCAGACTACGCTGCTTGCCCCTCTGATGGGAACTCCACAGGCCAGACTCCAGACTTGCTCTCACCAGACCTCTCACGGACACCAGTGGGACTTCTAAGCACACAACCAAAGCAAACTTTCCCCGAACAGTTGCGAACATCTTAATAGCACTAAATTTTTTTAAGTGTGCCTTGGACAGGTACTTAAATTTTCTCTTCTGGGCCATGTGAATAAAGAAAAGAAAAGCGTGAAATGAGGACTAATTCAAGTACATACCACCTGGCCCACACGTGGGAAAGTGCCTCCCTCCACAGAAGGAAGTCATACCAAGCAGAGAGGAAGAGGTATCACTCAGCACCTATGTGGGGATGGGTCTGTAGAATGCTTTGAACACTGTGGACAGCAGAGCAAAGCATGGGGAGGAGTGAAGCCCCAAGGAAAGAAAATACTGCAGTCAACACAGTGTAGAACCAATGCATTGTAAACAAATGCGAAATAAGGGCAAAAGCAATGATTATTTTAAGTCCTACATTAACCTAAACCACAGAGGGAGCGTGTGTGTGTGCATGTGCGCAGGGGTTTTGATGTGAGTGACTGAAAGGGGGATGTATCAAGAAAGAGAAGCCAGTTTTCCTACTCTTCATAAAAGCGTGGAAAGCTAAGCAGTGAGCCGGCCCCGTGCCCACTGTGAGGCACGCCTGCCGTTTTCCAGGAATCCCGTACACCTCTGTCTGAATCAGATTCTGACACAATCATTACTGTGTCTAAGTAACATTTCACAAAGAAAATCATGGCCCTATTTTTTTTCTTTTAAATTAAAGCTTTCTTCTCTTATGCTGACCTATGGTTGGGCTCCTTCTGTTTTTCTGATTTACTTGTTTTCGTAAGCTTTTGATACACTTATTGAATATTTCAACTGAGTGGCTAAGTAATCATTCAAGTGTCTAACCTGCGGTAACAATCAAGGGGGAAAACATTTAAGATTTTAAAAAATCACAGGTATCTGAGAACAGAAAACCTACTTTGGTTTCTCTGACTCCGTCTTACTGTCCCTGACGCTTCGGGAAGGTCTGTCCTCTTCAGAATCAGTATATGGCTCAGACCCACTGCTACTCGACTGCCCACGTCTCCTCTTGGTTTTCTTGTGGTGCTGATGCTTCCTTTTCTTCTTTTTCTCTTTCTTCTTCTTTCTGCTTGCTCGTCTGGGCTTTCTGCTGCTGTCACTTTCATCTGAAGGCTCTGATTTCAGAGGACTCCTGTTTGGGAAATCAACCTCAGAATTATTTTCAGAAGAGAATTAAGAAAATAATATGTAAATAAGTATGCAAATAAACAAGCATCTTAAAAGGAACTCTTCAAACGCCCACACAGACTTACTATCTGCCCATATATGACACGGCAACTTTCTGGATTACAGCTCACCTTGAAGACTCAAGAGTTGGACCTAAAATAACATCAGGTGAAGAAATTCTAATCTGAATAGCTTCTAAACCTATACTTTCATATCTATGCATTTTTCAGTGAAATAATCTACCAGTTATTTTATTAAATGCAGTACTTTTAAAAACACTATGAAAGGTTTATTTTCAGTTCTACATATTATGCCAGTATGTCTTTCAATGCCCCCCTCCAAACTTACTGAATTGTAAGAGTTCTTTACACATTCTGTATTCTAGTCCCTGGTGGTAACTGCATCTTAGTGAGGAGGAGATACTGGGATGTATGCTCTGTGATGACAGGCCCTTGTTTTATTCTCTGCCGTATCCCCAGCACTGATGGTCCTTGTTTCTAGAAGTGACCATGAGCTCTTTCTCATTACTGAAATATCTACAAACAACTCCCTCTCATGCACCAACTATTCTCAATTTCTAAAGGCTTCTTGCGCTTTAAGAGTACATGGCTTCTTAGAGTTCATCGTATTAGTAAGACCTCTTGGTTTATATTTGTGAGAAAGCTCATTTCTCAATTCAGTGATCTATAACAAAATTCTTTCAACGCTGGGTACAGATGGGTGCCGTTTTGTTCTCCCCAAAGTTTTCATGAAATTTTATCCTATGTTATTACACAAGCTCCTTCCATTTTTGCATACAACGCCTATCTTCAGGCAACTAAAGAAATACCTGAATTGCAATATTCTAAAGGTTACTAATGAGGTTAATAAAGTTACTTAAGAATCACAATGACGCCATTTCCCTTGTGGCCTAATTATTGGCAGTAACTGTGTCATGTACTTGCTGCTGCAATGCAAAGGGGAAAAAAAGGACAATCTGTAAGAGAAAGGTCAAGGAAAACAAAGATCACATCATTACATTAGGTAAAAGGAAGAGTTTTACCTAACTCTTTTATCACCAAGTTTTCTAAGGAGCATCATTCAAGCTAAGCTACAGGCGGTATGCTGACAAAGGCTAAAAATCCATCCATCAAAAAAACTACCTTGTCAGTGGTGACCCTTCAGGAACAAGGGCTGTGGCCTCTTCAGTTTGTCGACTCAGAGATGTTATGGTTCCAACACAAAAGCTTGGGTTGCTCAGCCAGTCTAATTCTGCACATGCAACAGGGAGAGGAGATCGTTGAAATTAGCTCAATATGATTTCTAAAGCAGGAAATCCATCTAACCAGCTGACATCCTAATTCACAGCCAAGGTCAGCCAGACATTCTGAACAGTTCACAGAAGCTGACGGGAGTCCATGAAATTGTTACTTCACAGGGCACAGGGCTTTCACACACTCTAAAATATTTAAGACTGAAATCCTCTTGTGATATCAGGCTGCAGCTTAAGTAAAAGCCACTCAACAAGTGTGGACTAAAACGCAACTAGGCTTTAAGTGTTCCATCCACACTCTAATGAGCATGAAAGCTCCCAAAGCATTGGGTTTTAATGACCCCAAATGTGATTCAGACGATTCCAAAAAGCTAAAAAATCAAATCATGCATAAAAGCCCACCAGGCTTAATATTATTATAGAAGATTAAGATCTTTTCTTTAAAAAAAAATCCCAAAGTCCTATCTTAAGATAACTTAAGTCTTTCCTTGTAACAGTGTTCCTCTATGAAAATAAAACCCAAGGTGTCAACTTCTCTAACAAATGCTAAAATTATATAAGATAATTTTATAATTATATAGTAATAATAATCTCTGGGCGGTGAGGTTAAATGTCCAAAATTTTTCTTTTTTCTGCTTATCCATTCATTTCTAACTCTTCTGTAATGAACTATTTCTAAATTACTTGTTTTCTAACTTTTAGGAGTCTTAGCTCCAAAGGAAAACAAAAACATGGGATGGTGGTAGCAAGAGGGCCCAAGGAGGTATGTGTTTTGTCCTGCTTTGTTTCAGGATGGGAGGCGAGAGCATCTTCATGTGCTCAAGAAAAAGAACCTATGAAATGGTTGAAGTTAGAAGAGAGAAGGGTTAATTACATTTTTAAATAGCTGTCCTGGGAATATAAATTATATACAAGGGTCACCCATGTAAAGTGTACAATTCCATGGTTTTCAGTATATTTAGAATTGTGCAACTATCACCTTCAGATAATTTTAGAACATTTTCATCATTCCAAAGAGAAACCCCACACCCATCAGCAGTCAGTCTCCATCAGCCACCTCCTGCCCTCCCACCCCGACTCCCAGCCCTAGGGAACTACTAATTTACTTTCTAGCTCTATAGATTTGCCTATTTGGGACATTCCATATAAACACGATCATACAATACACAGTATTCTTTCACTTGGCATCATGTTTTCCAAGTTCATCCATGCTATAGCATGTATCAGTACTGCAGTCCTTTTTATTGCAGAATAAGATTCCATTTTATAGATGTACCTCATTTTATCCATTATCAGTTGAGGGACACAGGTTGCTTCCACTTTTTGGCTATTATAAATAATGTTGCTATGAACATTCGGGGACAAGTTCTTACATGGACAGATCGTTTCAGTTCTCTGGGTTAGGTATCTAGGAACACAACTGCTGGGTCATGTGGGAACTCATGTTTAGCATTTTGAGGTACTGCCAGACCATTTTCCAAACTGGCTGCACCATTTTACACTCCCAGTAACAAGGCATGAGGATTCCAATTTCTCCACATCCTTGCCAGCTTGTTACTGGACCACAGTCATCCTGCAGGGTCTGACGTATTTCCTAATTCGGGTTGTGTTTCCTGTTTCCCTGGTGACTAATGATGTTGAGACTCTTTTCATGTGTTTACTGGCCCTTCATATTTGAATAGAAATAGTTATTCAAATTCTTTGCCCAATGTTTAATTGGGCTGTCTCTTTTTATTACTGAGTCGTAAGAGTTCTTTGTATATTCTGTATTCTAGTCCCTGGTGGTAACTGCATCTTAGTGAGGAAGAGATAACTGGAATGTATGCTCTGTGATGACAAGACCTTGTTTTATTCACTGCCATACCCCCAGCACTGAGAGCAATGCCTGGCATACATCAGTAGGAGTTTAATAAATATTTGTGGAAAAGAGAGGGAGGCGGGAAAGCAAATTCCTAAAGAGAAAAGGTACGTTAAAAAGCACAGGAGAAAGGGAAAGAAGAGAGGGAATCTAACTTACAAAGTGCCTACTGTAGGCCAAGCAACAGGTTAAGCACTTCCCATCTTTTAATCCTCACAACAACCCTCTATGGGAGGTACTATGATCTCCACTGTACGGAAGAGGCAACTAAGGCTCAAAGGGAGCAAACAGTTTGTAAGGTCATACTTGGTAAGAGTTGCAACAATTGTTCATGCTGTCTTTCTTCTATTGTTTCCTTTGTGGTGGTTCCTTTCCCTTGGACCTAATTCCTGGCAAGAGGTATGTGCAACAGTTCCTGTTGCTCACTGAGATCACAATTATTTCCACAATAATTGGATTCTATCATGAGCGAAGGAAAAGTGGGACAAGATGAAACAAACAATATGCAAGGAAAGATGCTCTCAAACAAGCCCATTATATTTTTACATAAATATTCTGATAGTGATGACAGCTTGGAGGAAATGTAAAGAAATACAGACCTCAAAACAACAAAGTTTGTGACTCTCCAAAGTCCTTCAGAAAGAAAAGCTCTTTAAGGATGCAGTTAAGGCTTTGCCATATAGGACTACCGTGGGTGGCAGGGGAGTAGTGTAGTGTATAAAGAACTAAAACTCTTGGATTTTGAACTCAAATCATCATTGACCCTTTGAGTGACTTTCTTCTCAACCAAATGACCTTTTGTAGGAACAAAAGGCATTTTTACCTGATAAGAAGTTGCTGCTGCTTTTTGCTAGCATATTAGCAGTGAATATGTGTGGAATATTAGAAGTAATAATCACTGGATGTTAGACCTAGAAAAATTGGGGAGATCATCTAGTCCGGAGATTTTCAAACTTTTTCAGCCAAGGAACTCACTGTTCAAACAAAATCTTTCAGAGAAGTCCAACATGCAGAACAGAGAAAGCTGGATGCTCCTATTGGAGGTTCCCATGGAGGAGTGGGTCTGAGAAGTGGAGCACAGCCTGGCCGCCACTCCTCATTTGCAGATCAACAGCTGGAGGCCCAGAGAAGTTAAGTCACACAGCCTAATGCACACAGCCGAACCTGGACCTGTGATTCTCCATCCAGTCCTAACCATGCCACGGCGCCACTCTTCACTTCCTTAGCTAAGGAGTTGGTTTTCCCGAGTCTCCTTGCAACTGGCACAGGGGGCTATTGTGGCAATTTTCATATTGTAATCTCATTCTCTGCACGTCAGTCTTCCACTAAATTCCAAACCAAAGGTCAACAACTCAGATCCTTACAGGGACCAGATGAGTAATGATCAGTGTGACATGATCCAGAGTGGCAACAGAAAAAAAGAAAAAGACAAACAAAAACATTCTGCCAGCCAAACAAATTATACAGCAACTGGTTTACAACTCCTGCATCTGAGTTTCCAGCTTGCCTCTGCTCTTCCCACTCCCTTCTTCCCAAAACAAAAGCAACATGTGGGCAGGAGCCATGACTATTCACTCCTCTACTCCCAACTCCCAGCACAGTGCCTTGGTACAAAGTAAGTGCAGTCAACAAATATTTGCTGAATAAATAAAATGAATGAGGATCTGAACTGTATCTTTGCATCTTTGTACCCCTAGCACCTAATTTACTGAACTGAAAGAATATGAGATTGTCAAAAGCTATTATCTAGGTATAAAGCACAACTTTATAATTCTTCCAGTTTTCACTGTAAATGCAGATTTAACCATTAAAGAAAAGAATACCTAGTTTGTGTCCAGGCACAGTTCTAGGCTTTGGAGGCCCAGTGGTGAGCAAGTCCCTGCTCACGTGGTGCTTATATTTAAAAATAACATTAATTCTTCACATAATAACATTAGCATTGCTAAATTTTAATTACACAATCCTGGGAAGTTACCTCAGATCAAAAGATGCTTTATTAATCAGACTGCAAAGTCCTTTTCTATTTTAACTTACATCCTCAAATAATTTACAAATGCCAAATATACTTAGATAATTGTGTAAATACCAAGCAGGGTGTAGCATGCTACAGAGAAGACTAGCAGCATACCACATACCTCGGGTTTAAGACAGAGAAGCCGACTGGCTGACAAACCTTTTGTCCCTGCAGGTTAGTAAGTAATCACAGACTGAAACTCACCTGGAAATCAGCACCCTATTATACACATACACACATCCGAGAAAGGGAAGAGTGGAAGTATCAGGCAGGAAAAAACCTTTAGAACTACTGCCTAACAAAACCAGGCAGGTATCTGTAAGAATCACATCATGTATAATTTCACAGAAAATAATATAATGAATCATCACTGAATACATCAAGTTGAAATGCTTTTTGTGATTATATAAGTTTATTATATAATTCTATTTCTCCAGCACCAGAGAAAATGCTTTAATTCCACTATAGAGAGAGAGAGAGAAGGAATTGTCATGAATAGATTTAAATTTTAAAAACAAATTTTGAATAACAATTGAATAAAATAACCTTGTTCTACACCCATTCCCCATTGTATTACAGGCATCCTCCATCTTCCAAAGTTCACTTTATACCAGTTTGCTTTTACGACCTACATTAGTACCTATTTTTGCTAACCAAAAGAAACCTAAAGAGGATTTTCGATTTTACAGAAAAAGGCGAAAAGTAAAAATAGCGTGTAGCATTTGTTTTGCAGCGAGCCCTCAAGAGGATAGCGAGCACCCCAAGCAGTGACAGTGGCACCGCCAAGCTCCTTCCTCGCAACTATATCCAGCATCTCAGCATCCAGCCACCACAGCTTTGAACTGTGTCTGTGCTTTATCCTGATTTGCTCTGTGCATCCATTAGCAAGATGTGTCCTAAAGTAATTGCTTCTTCGCTCTATGCCATTTCTGCTTACAAAAGGTTTCACAGGAATGCTCTACCTTCAGATAGTGGGGGAAACCTGTATAATAAAACAGCACTGATTATCAGTTTATGTGAACTCAGAGGCAAGCACCACCCCTCCAGGGATAATAATTCAAGAGACATTTCTAGGGTTGACTGTATAAATAAATTAGCATATATATTAGGGAAGGGGGTTATTCCTTTGAAAAGAATGAGCCAAGCTCTTTATTCTGATGGAAACCCTTGATTTCTGACAAGGAATCTGAGAGCACAAACATTCGTACAAAAAGCACCAGCAAACGTGGCTAAGAACTGCATTTAAGACGGTGATTACAGAGAGCCTAGGCAAAGTCAGCCCTTTCAGAAAAAATTTAAACAACCAAATCCCAACATTCCAATACCACACTGTGGTTTATAACACATTTTCCAGTGTCAGAGGGACCTGTGTTCAAATACTGGCTTTATCGCTTATTAGTTGTGCCTCTCTGAACAAGGTACTTAATCTCTCCGATCCCTTCATTCGGCACTTTTTTACTGAGAGCCAGGCATTGTTCTAGGTGCTGGGAACACACAGCGAGCAGGACAAAGCCAGCACAGCCTCAGGGAGCCGGCACACCAGCAGTCACTTACGTGCAATGAGACAAATGCCAAGATAGAGAAAGTATACAGGGTCTAACGAGAGCACACAATTAGGGCCCCTAATCGAGCCTAGGCATAGATCAGAGAAAGCTGCCTGGGAGAACATCTCAACAAGACCAAAAGGAGGAGAAAGAGTTAGGCCAACATGTTCCTAGGAAGCATCGAGGCAGGGGAAAAGGCTTAGACAAAGGCCTGAAAGTGAGAAAGCATGACTCTCGGGGAAACAGGAGGAAGCCGTACCAGCTGGACCACTGGGAATGGAGGGAGTAGGCGTGAAATGAAGCTGGAGACATTTACGGGCCTTAGAAACATATCAGAGCTTGGGTTTACCCTAAAAGCAATCAGCAAATGCTTGAAAAGTTTTGAGCAAGGGTGACAAAAATCAGGCCTAGCGTTCCAAAGAGCAGCAGCAGACAGCAGAGTTGTTTAAGAGGAAGCGTTTTGAAGCTACACTGCCTGAGCTCAAGTCCCAGTTGTTACCTCGTTTCCTTCTCCTTAAAAATGCTGATAAAAGCACCAACTTCATAGGGTTGTTATGAGGCATCACCAAGTTCATACTCATTTGTAAAGCATTTAGACCAGTGGATGGCACAGAGTGTTTTTTTAACTAAGCGATTTTAAAATTCTGACTACAATGGATAATGGTTCCATTCCAACTCTGTCCAAAGAGGCAACTCCCAAGCAGCAACGTTTTTAGAGTAGACAATCCTAACAAATCTGATGGTGTTGGAAGAAAAGCTCAAAAACTGGACAGACCCACGCCAGGGGCCCTCTGCTGCTCCTAACACAGCGGCGGAGCTCTATGCCTGCTTGTTCAAAGAATGAATGTTGCTGAAACTAGCCTTGCCCATACCCTTACTAAATGTGATGCCTACTTAAAGCTTGGCCCAACACTTAACAGTACCTAGGGAGTAGAGAACAGAGCCTCTCTCACTTGCTTTGGTATCATCTGTCCAGGAGTTTAAATTTTTTTTTAATTGAAACTCTGCACACACCAGTACTAACACCATCTTGCATTTTTATAACATTTTATAGTGTAAAGCCCACAGCACAGTGCTTCTATTTTTAACAGCAAAAGACCGAAAACAGTCCAAATGTCCTTAACAGGGACTAATAGAATAAAGTATATGGCATCCACACGATGGAGTCCTGTGTACCAGTCAAAAGAAGTGAGGAAGATTTCTATACTCACTGCAGAGTGATCTCTGAGATTTAAGGTGAAATGAAGAATAGTATGCGTTTAAGAAACCAGAGGGACATGTAGTTGCTCACACAAAGGGGGAAAAAATGGAAGGATATCATTGACTAATTAATAAATATTCTAACCTATACGGGAAGGGTTGGAGAACAGAGATGGAAGATTTTTTTCTCTGAATGTACTTGGTTTGTATGCATTGTCAACTTTAGAACCATGTAAATATTTCACAACATTATAAAACAGGGTCAAATCAAAAAGAAAAATGCAATCCCTAAAAACTGAAAACAAACATAACTAATTGTATATCAAATTGGTAGCAAAAGCACACAGAGAATCACTTCAAGTGAATTTAAAACAGTAATTTGACAGCACATGGGTTGTGGGATAATAGCCTCAGGGCACAGAGAACCATAAAGAAATATTGAACTATTTAGTATTAGTCGTATTGCTACTGTTATTTTGAACATACACATAGATGGACTAATGACACTAAAAACTAAGATTTTCAGCATAAGAGGAAAGAAACATAAACGGTAAATCAAAGAAATCAATTAAAAAATCTCACAATCTTAAATTTGGACTGGAAATATCAATATGAATTCATGATGTATTTTTTTTCTTCCTGGTTCTGACCACTGAAAACGTTTAGACATAATGATAACCCAGTGCGAATAAGTACTCCTAACACCCAATTTGTGGGTTTTTACATACCCATACCATTTTCCACTAAAAGAAAAACCAAGCTTCCTGTGAGAAATTGTCAGTTTCAGGCAAAACAAACAAAAAACTAACAAAACATGTAAGTGATGAGCTCTGGGCAGCTTTTAGGGCAGAAAGCAAGGAAGCGATGAAAAACAACTGGGTGATGCCAAAAAGACACAGGCCCAACTTGATCAGGCCCCCATCAGCCGAAGATGGGGGACAATCTGAGCATTGGAAAAATAATATGTGCAACAAACTGAAATAGAAAGATGTTAAAAAAAATTCATGAGTTCATAATGCAAAGGAGGGGTGGGGAACACCTTATTGAACACCTCTGAAAGTTGCCAGGACCCTGACTTATTATTCTGAAAACTGACAAAGGGAACAAATCAAGCATTCATCCTGTCTTTCCAGCCTGATTTCTATTTCAGGGTATCCCAACAGTGTGAAAAAGTTCTTTATAGAATAATTGATACAAATACAGTGAGGAAAAGTTCCTTATAGAATAACTGATACTAATAAGCATAGGAGGAATCCTAAAAATAGAAAATAACCATTTTGGAACTCCAATGAAATAGTGGATCTAAGCATAATCACAAACGGCTGCAAAAACGACTGATGGGCAGCTTCATAATGGATGAATCAAGCCATCTATGAATCCACTGATCAATCTTACCACTAAAAAAGAGAAAACTAGACAGCACATTCTCCTAATTTGGCTCAACAGCAAGTGCAGAGTATCCCTAATAAGGTATTTTCAACTAAAAATAAAAAATTATACCTGAATCCAATTAACTCTCTAGATCTAATTACCGATTTACAGGAAATAGCAGGATAGGATAGATACGCATGTTAAATGACACCATAAGGATTTGGGGGGAAATATCTGCAGGAAAAATGGCCCAATTTCCTCAACAAATAAATCACAAGGGAAAGTAAAAGGAAAGAAGAAACTGTTTTATATTAAAAAGAGACCTAAGAGATATATCCACAAAACGCATTGTTAGATTTCTTTGGATACTGACGTGCACAAACCAACTGTAAAAGGCCATTTTTGAAACAGCTTGGGGAATTTGAACATTGACTAGCAATTAGATGGTATTAAGGAATTTAGTTAATGTCATTATGACTGGTAATGTTGTGTTTACATTTTTTAAAATACAGTACTTTAAAAGCTCTTTTACAAACATTACCCAGAAGACATCCAAAAATACTGGTTAAGATAAATGACAAGATCAACACTTCCCTGTAAACCTGTGATTTCACCCTCCCAAAATAAAAAGAGTCACCTTTGGTCTGTTATTCAAGTCAGTACCATCCCTCATCACCAATTTCAACCTCCTTCCCAAGGCTCCTCATTATGCCTCTGTATTTCCAGACAAACTGAATTATTTGCAGCTCTTTGCACGGGTTTCATGCTTTCCTTTCTGCATGCCTTTAAAGGTCCTGGAATACCCCTTCACTGCATGTGTCCAAATCCTACACTCCTGAAGACCAAAAGTCAGCTCCTATATAAATCCTTCATGGAATCTCCCATCAGAAGTCATTATTCCTGCAGTTCACCTTTGTCACCTATAACATCTGACTTTGTACTTAGTTAATTTTTTTTTGTTAAGTACCTACCGTATTTACTGAACACCTACTATGTTTGGGGCCTGTGCTAGGATCTAAGTATGCTGCAGTGAATGGACGAACACCGTTTCTGACTACATTGATGTTACAGTCAAGTAAAGGATGACCAAAATTACACTCATTATGTAAGAAAGTACTCATAATTATGGTAAGTGTTACCAAATTGAAACGTAGGAACTACAGGAGGCTCTAACAGAGGTGTCAGACACGACTGGACTCTGCCATATAAGTGCATGATTTAGGGTTAATTACTTTAAATTAAAATTCACATGTGCACAATTTTTAACAATGCAGGTCTCCTGGTAATGCTTAGGGCTTAAACACATAATGCCGTCACCCGGCATACAGTCGGCCATCACTAAATAAGTTCGTTTTTATCCCCAGCAGCTGTGCCCATCTGAACAGAAACTGTGTTTGATTAGACTCTGGATCCTAATTCCCGAGCTTTTGGTCTGCCAAACGATACGAACCCAGTAAGAAATTCAGAAATAAGTAAAGCAGGAAAGAAAGCAAACTGCAATAAGAACACTCGGGATTTGCATCAGGAATCTCCCCGAGATGTGGAGTACCACTATTCCTATTTTACAGGTGAAGCAACTGAGGCTCGGAGAGGAATCGGGTTCAACAACATGATTATAAGAAAAGTCCCAGATGCAGGACCTCTCCTCCGCCTTTCTTTCTCTTCCTGAACTCAATTCTAGCCCAAGACCCCGGACGAGGGCGGCCGCTCTTCCCAGAAGGCTTTGCAGCGCCCCGGAGAACTCTGGGATACTAGCGGATAAACAAAGCCAAGGAAAGGGCCGAGACCCAGGCCGAGAGACTCCGTCCTAAGCATGGCAAGTGCTGTTTTTATCGCTTTTGTGTGCTTACCTTTCCTGGAGCTCCCGCTATCGGGCGCCTCACTAACGCCCGCAAACGCGGGGAACAGCGCCATGATCACAGGCCGCGCCGCCTTTTCACGCCACAGAAATGGCGCCCGGAGCGGAGGCCGGTAGTAAGGCCTTTGCGGTCGCGGTGCACTCTGGGAAGTGTGGTTTTCCTGCCGCTGCTCTGGGCTTGACCCAGACCGAGGGGCGGGGTGGGAAGAAAAGCGGTGAAGCCTGGTGGGGCGGGGAGGGAGGGACCACTTCCCAGGAATTAGCACCAGGAGGCTTCTTTGGGAATCCCAAAATGCTGAGACTGGAGGTGCAATTGTTCAGAACAGAAAGTTCTAAGAAGTTGGGATTCTGACTCCATCCTTGAGTTCACAACCATCGCTTCCTAACTGGGTCAAATTAATCAAACTCCCTAAGTTTTAGTTTGGATGAAATAAAAATTCACGGTTTAAAGCAAGATAAGAAAAATTTGCACATAAAATATTTCTCTGCCCATTTGAGCCTCCCTCCCACCTGTCTAGCGTGCACTGTGTATCTGCTTTACCAGACCTCACCAGTATACCTCAGAAATACCTGATTAACCATGAAGATTAATTTTTCTTTTTCTGGCCTCAGCCAGGTAATTCCTTAGAAGATAACATTCCTTTCTCAATCCTGTAAGGGGTAATGATAACCCACCACTCACCTTGTCTGTGCAGATGTCTTTGGTGAACTTCATGTACAATGACAATTTATCATTTCCTTTAAAGATAGCGATTGGTGCAGAACAGACAGGTCAGAGGACCTGGGGAGGATACTAGGCCACATCTGATGGAAGTTCCTGGTTTAAATACCTGCATATGACCTTACCAGTGTTACTAGCTATAATAATTGTACTCTGCCTACTTTACAAGATTATTGTTTCTTGCATTACCAACTGTGTGACTAGGCCTCGGATAAAATTACTGATACTAGGCGATTTGAAACGATTGACAAATGCATAGTTCATATGATTGTAACAGTGTAACTCTAGATATGAGGAGAAGCAGCAAGAGAAAACCGTTTCCTGGACAATAGCAGACTAATAAAGCAGGCAGTCCAGAGGCTTTTAGTTACTATTAAATGGTCCTAGTCCAGTAACAGCACATTGAATGGCCTACCAATGAAATCCTCCTCTGACCTGGGAATGAGCATTCCTAGCACCATGGGACAAGTTAGTTATGAAAAACGTCTCAAGCCTTGGTCAAAGTTAAGACCAAAAGGGAGGGGATCATAAAATAAAGAATGTTGCCCACCATCCAGTTCTACAAGAATCAAGTCACTAGCCACTGCAGTCACTGAAAGGAATTTCTCAAAGGAATTCAGGGCAAATGTTAGGATGAGGCACTTTGTGCTCTAGGAGAACTGACAGGACTGGCCTGCAGATAGTTAGATATTTTCAGGAGAAAATTTTATGAACCTAGTTTCTTGAATCTTCTTACACATAGAAAAGCACTAAAACCATTAACTAAGTTATCTGTTCCTCACAAATAGTAGTAATCTTCTACCAAGTTGAGAGCTCATAACCCTTCACCAAAATTGCATACATGCTAGCCTCTTCCTTTACCTCTTCAAAAAGTTCTCAGGGCTCTCTGAGAGACTGTCTCCTGGGTTATAATCCTCAGGTTGGCGCAAATAAAATTTTCCACATCTCTCTTAGATTGACTTTTTGATAATTTGGGTGGAATGGGGGGACAGTTTCCTCCACAAAATGTTGAGAAGATTAAATGAGCATAGAGATAAAGTGCTCAGCCTTGTGCCTGGCTCGTGGAAAGTGCTTAATAAAAGTTAACTGTCATGTGCATTGTGACTGCAAGTCTGACTCAGGGCCTTGTGAGCTACACAAACTTCAATCAGTTTGTCATCTTAAATATTTTAGGAATACGAAAGAACTCAAGGTCCTCTCAAGTTCAAAGGTCTTTGCTAGTTAGAAAATATATTTACCTGCCTATGAAGTATTCTCGACTTAAAAAAAAGTTGAATCTGAATCTAACAAAGCCTGCTACTAAAAATATACGGGTAAATGAACAATTTAAAGAATTCATACCACCTAGAAGCAATCAGCCAAATTCAGAGTGTGGGAAAATCATAGGAAAGAATCCAGTTCCTTCAATGAATCAATATCTTAAGGGGGCAGGAGATTGCAATGGATTAAAAGATTTTAGAGACCTATCAACTAAATGTAATATATGGCCTCCTTATGATTCTGATTGGAAGAATTGTTTTAAAAAAGACCTTTTTGAGACAGATGAAGAAATTAGAAATGAACAGACTATTAGACGACATCAAATAATTCTTATTAATTCTGAAACTAATGTACTAATGGCACTGAGGTTACTTTTTAAAGTTCTTATATAGAGAGATACGTACTGAAGTATTTGCAGGTAGAAAAGATAAATGAAAATATGGTTGGTAGGGGGAAGGTCCCAGGGAGTTCAAAGAACTTTAAACTTAAATAGAAAATATATCAGGAACCAAAGAGATGCAAATCTAATCAAAGGAATGGATAGGCTCTTGTGAAAGCTGTAGATCTATGTGTGAATTAGGTTTTGTGGGTCCAGAATGAGCACCCTTCAAGCTTTGAAGTCCTTTACTCAGTACTTGCAAAAAGAAGCTTAGTATGACAGTATGGATGGTTAAACCCTTGCATGTCTGCAACTTTCAGGTCCTACCTACCCAAATCTCTTACTCTAAGTTACTCAATTAATTGGGGCAGCTTCTGCCTCCCTTAGCAGATTACCTCAGGTAACCATCTTCCCCACTGCTTCTTGCACTTTCACTCCAGAAAAATAGTTAATGTGGAAGGTTTAGGAGAACCAGGACCTTAATAGTAATATTTCTGAAATAAGGAATCTGGGCATATTGTATTATTTTCTGTACTACAGATATTTAAGATAATTCAGCTTAAGAGATCCCCTTATAGGAACAATTTAAAAGTATAATCAAGTAACTGCTTTACACTCCTGATTTTAAGTTGAAAACTTATGAAGTTTAGGCAGAGTTTCAGAACATGTAAGAATATAAAGTTTACCATAGTTTAAGGCATAATTGATTAGTTTTGTAAAACTT